GGGACTGATAGGAAAAGCAGACATGTTTTGCCTATTAAAGACCTCTTCGTGTCCACTGGGATTTTATTAATTTTGACTTGTTTCTGAGTACTCTCACAAGAGTGCTTCTTATTTCATTGATCTGAAGGCATTTTTGCCTGACTCTGCTCTCTTTAATCTGAGTTTACCCTGTAATCAAGGAGTATAGCCTTGTGTGTTATGCATAGTTTTAGGGGAATATCCAAAGAATCATCCCAGTGCCTTAGTGCTTTGAGTATGGCCACATTCCTTCCTTCACCATCTGTGCAGAGAAAAGTATCCAATGGGAAAGATAGGACCTGCCCCCAATGCAGATCCTACCCCTGTTCAACATGGGCATTTACATACACTCTTTTTTAAACATTTCAGTTGTATGTTTATTTGGGGTTATTTTGGGAGATGCTGAAAGAGAGAAGAGAGGCTAAAGCTGCCCCAGGCTATGCCTTTGTACCCCAGACTCTGTAAGGCGTGATTCTGTAAGTTCACTTTGTCAAACAAGTTCTGATTTATTGTAGCATTTTTTTGCTACCCAGAGATCCAATAGTCCATCTGGGACCAGAAGGGGCTTGTATTAAGAGAACAGCAACCTCAAGAGAGGTTCACCTCTTGGCCAACCAGTCCCCCATCCACATCAGCCTCAGCTCCCTTAGCCTGGGCAGAGGTGGTGGTGCAGATGGAGAAGGGAGAAATTAGAGGGAATGGGGAGATTTTGTATCTCAGATTAGCCTACCAGCATTCATCAGTGGCCAGTTTTGGCAGGTGTCCCAGTTCTGTTCATCATCTATCCTCCTGCTCCAGTCTTGGACACAGTCTATGAGCATTGCTCTGGGATCAAATCCCACTGGAGGTGGAATTTAGGGCACATGTTGGAGGCTTCAACAGGACAAGAAATTGCTTCCCAGTGGCTACCTTATCCCCAGCCCTAGGGTGAAATGAAGCTTAACTGGAGGTACTATCAAACAGTCGCCCCCTCCTCCTAGTGGAAGGAACCCAGTCTCTAGGATGTTTCTCCTTTGAAATGTATCTTACTAAAATTCCTCACTTCCAAAGTGCACTTGCAACCCCAGATGTGAGTCTCATGAATGTTTAATTGTTGTCTTCATGGGGTGTCTTATTTCAAGAGATGAATATTACAGGACAGGAGTATCATTTACTCTCTACCCATCCCTGAAGTCCCTTATTCTACTGCTGTCAAACAGCTCTGGCCATGATTTGATGGCTGGAACACAGATCTCACCTCCCACTCCCTTCATCTCCATGCTGCGTTGCTTTAGTTGATGACCCCAGGTTTAATATTACCATAAAGTTGGGGCTGGGGCTTCACAAGCAAGGGAAATGTCACTAAAAATCCCAAGTTTAGTGTTTTATTCACATATATTTCAGCTAGGAAAGTTTTTTAAAAACTCATGAAGCCACAAGGTAAAAATATTAGTTATTAGTGAAAAGCATTTTGTTACGCAACTTCCAAAGACTTTAAAAATGATATTTATAAGGGCCTTTGTTTATTGGTTAAATTCATATTATATGTTAGGAAAAATCTGTGGTACACTTGAAAGCTCTGAAATTTTACTTTTACTTCTTTTCGCAGCGTCGTTATTAAAGGAATTGCGTACATGATTGTATCATCCTTCGCTTTCAGGTATGTGAGACTCTAGAAAAGGAGGTAATTAAGTATGTATTACAGTTAATATCAATATTTTTTAATGGCAGAGGATCTCGGAAGGGGAAAAAAAGAATTTCCATTGTCAGTATGTTGCTGAGTAGCCTTTGTGCTTTAGTTAATGCAACCCAATCTCTCTTGGAATTTTAATTTAAGCTGAATATTAAGAATTGCAAAGAAACGGCATTTACTTGAATCTATATTTTTAATATGTTTTTCTACCTGTAAAAGTAATGAAGCATGCATTTCAAAATTCTGTAATTGTAAGGAAAGTGTTTTAGTACCTTATTCATCTAGGATTACTCCTTAACTCTGGAAACATTCTGTTTAGCCTTCTTCTCTATGTGATTGTAAGATTTCATACTGAGTTACAGATTCCCACAATATACTTACTTCCTTTTAAATGGGTATTATTTTAATTTGCATTGCAATTGCAAAAAGTGCTTTGAAGATTAACCTATCTTCATAGATTGTACAAATAATAAAATCAATTTATGGAGAATGTGTTTAGAATATATAAGAGCAAGGCTTAGAAGGTACTTCTAGAAGGTACTCAATCATATGTATATATTTATGGAATTGAATTCTACTCATGTGTCCAGCACTGTGCCAGAAGCAAGCACTAATTTGTAATCGTGTACTTGTTGAAAATCTCACTGATAAGAAATCTTACTGGTCAAAGTGGTCTTTTAAGAGCTTATATTAGTCATGCTTTCACTTGGTCTTCATTACTAAATTCTTTTAAAATATCAAGATGAGTGTGGTGTGAGACATGGAAGCAACCTGAATGTCCATCAACAGATGAATGGATAAAGACGATGTATGTATGTATATGTGTGTGTGTGTGTATATACATATACACACACATACATATACACATATATAAACACACACACAATGAAATATTACTCAGCCATAAAAATAAATAAAGCCCTTTGCAGCAACATGGATGGACCTAGAGATTATCACAGTAAGTGAAGTAAGTTAGACAGAGAAAGACAAATATATGATAGCACTTACAGGTGGAATCTAAAAAAAAAGATGGATACAAATGAATTTATTTACAAACTGGAAATAGACTCACAGACATAGAAAACAAACTGTGGTTACCAAAGGGGAAAGGAGTAGGGGGAGGGATAAGTGAGGAGTTTGGCATTAACAGATACACACTACTATATATAAAACAGATAAATGACAAGGACCTATGTTACAAGGGAACTATATTCATTACCTTGTAATAACCTATAATGGAAAGGAATCTGAAAAAGAACATATATATGTATATGTATAACTGAATCACTTTGCTCTACACCTGAAAATATCACAACATTGTAAATCAACTATAATTCAATTGAAAAGATTAGTGAGTTTAATTTATTATGAGAAATTGGTAGAAGGCCCTTATAAAATTCTCAAATTTTAAGAAGAGTTTACAAGTGGAGACAGTGATTTTAATTCAGTTTGCCTGTTCTATCTTGGAGTATTAGTCTGATGTATCTATTATAAAAGGGCATGATAACATGAAGTGGTTTAATGGGAAAGTTATTTCCCTAACAACTGCATCTTTAGGTGAAAGTTGGGCAAGTTATTTTGAGACTCTAAGACAAAGCAGTTCTCTTTACTACTGAACAGTTTAATCTGAAATAATGACATTTTGGTATCAGGTCATTGGCCTATAGGTAGTCTAACTGTAGGGGTGAAAACCACTGTCTTTATTCTGTTTATTTGTTCGTTGTAGAGTAACTGGAATTTTGCTGGTCTTTGTGGATGTGTCCACCATCATTATGGACTTACTTCTCTCTAATAGCACAGTATATATTCCTGTGGAACACCGTTTTGTTTCTTTAGCTGCTGCTGCGTATTTTTCCTTGGATGTTTCCCTTCGAGTGCTTGTAGAAGGGTAAGTGATCTTTTTTTAAAAAAAAAACACACATAAAGCTATTTTGTACTGCTCTGGGAATTATCCCCAAGTCATTACCAGGCCAACCCAACCAAATATGTTCCAAGTTATCAAAATAATTCTCCTCGAAGGCATGGTCCCCAAGAGAAACAGCAATCTAAATCCCAATTTCTACTAGATCAGGCTTTAATATTATTGTTGCAACTGGCACTCTAGTTGCCAAACAGTGTGTTCTAGGTGGTTCCTTCAACAGGTGAATGCTAAAGCGTTTGCAAAAATGGGGCCAGGCAGCTAATGTGTCCATATGCATATTATTAAGAGGAACCTGTGTGTGAAGTATAAGTATTAAGACTTTTATTAATAAATGAGCTGAAATAAAAGCTGACAGTACTAGATAATAGATCACGAACAAGCCCCTACCACAGTTAAAAGAGAAATTTGTGTTAAGGTCTGCAGGAGAGCTGAGACATACTCCTCCTGCCAGGGAGGCTTGGTGCTGAGTCAGCAGCGGATTTTCTGGCTGTTGGCTTTCCGAGAAGGTGGGTGGAGGGAGCAAAGCCTTGTGCTGGACTGCTGTGAGTCAGGCACTAAATCCCCTAGGCTCACAGCAGCCAGAACACTTGAGAATGCGCTTGTCTCCTCTCTGGCTGAACCTCTATCCTCATGCCTCTGAGCTGAGGACAGTTGCCCACCCCCAGGTTACTTACAGCCTGAAAGGAGCTACCCCAGGATTGGAAGAAGCTTCCCTAGGGGCCCCAGTGCCCATGGCTGAAGGAGCCAGCGCTGGGGAGAAGGCGCAGGGGCTGGAAGTTCCACTTTCCACAGCCCACTGGGATTCCACTGTGGGTGCAAAGCCAGAGGATGAGTTTGCAGGGCAAAATAATGGACCTCTCTCCCTCTCACAAGCCCCTCTCGAGCACCCCTCACAGCCCCAGTTTCTCAAGGGCTGTGACATGTTCAGCTTCCATTGTCCCGTCTTTCTCTCCCACCTATGTGAAGGCAGTGCTTGTCTCTTGTTCCAGTGGTTTGGTTAAATCTCTTATTGGTTATATACTTAAATCTCCAAACTGATGCTTTTGTATTATATAAGTATAAAATAATCAGTATGAATATTTTTTCCCTTAGCCTAGTCTAGTAAACGCATTTTCAATCATTCATTGACGTAGAATTCTTAACGGGGTTGAGTCAAGTAATTTGTGCTCTTAAATATCCCTATCTATTATGTGGGGAAGCATAAACTTACTTTTCTTGCTGTTTTTTGTTGCAGGATCCTACCGTATTTTTCTGATGTATTTAACTTCTTAGACGCCGCCATTGTCTTGGTAACTCTGCTGCTTGAAGTTGTTTATAAAGCTTTTGGCTTTACGGCTCTTAAATATGTCCCCAAGTAAGAAACTTCGGATTCACTGCTCTTACAGTTTCTTCTTCTTCTTCTTCTTCTTTTTTATTCTGCATTTTCCATGCCTTTCTTTTTCTTTTCGTGTAATCTTTTAAACTCTGGATGTGCTAATTCTTTGCCAGACAAGCTGCTTGAAAATGAAATGTTTAGATCAATTTCTACATACCTGGAAACGAAAGGATGGTGGTGTTGAGGGACCAGTGAAGGGTGTACCATTAGCTGAATGAAGAAGACAGAGCACCCAAAGAAGAAATTGGGGACTTGCCTCTTGTCTTAACTTTAACTTCTCTGCATTTTGAAGTTCCCACTTGAGTTTCAACTGCAAACTTCTTATACATGAAATTCCTGGGTCTTTCCTACAACCGAGAGTATGTGGTTTGATTTGTGCCAGTATAGCTCTTTTGGCGGTAGTGGTGGTGGTGCGGAGTTAATTAGGTTTATTTATTTATTTTAATGGAGGTACTGGGGATTGAGCCCAGGAACTCATGCATGCTAGGCATGCGCTCTACCACTGAGCTACACTATCCTCCAAGAGTATTTGGTTTGAGTCTCTGCAAAATTTGAGTGACTCCAATGATGATTCTCTAAAAAAGAACAGATGGAACAGAAAACCAGGTGACACGGAGGGCATCACAGAGGGAGAATTCTGCAGTACCCTTGAAATGAAGAAAACTGAGGCAGAGTTAGAACTGTTAGGGACCAGGAAACAAAAATGTGTATGAGAGACTGATGGCCTTGTTCTTTTCCCTCTTCTTTCTGCTATGGCATGAGGAACAGAAGAGCAAGCGTGCTGTGGGATGTAGATGTTGGGCGGCTCTCTAGGCTTATTCATTAGTCAAATAGCTTGCTGCTCTCTGCACTCCAGCTTCTCAGGACTTTAATTCGGGTCTCAGCAAAACTTGACAGTGTTTGATAGGCTTTTGGAGTTAGAATAACGAGCCAGTATGGTCCTCAGACAGGCAGCCGCAGCATTGCTGAAGGCAAGAAGAAAAGCACCTCAGGGCCCACCCTAGACCTACTGAATCAGTATGCACACTCCAGTCAGAGAAGCACTGGTCCAAACCGTCAGTTCTCTGCCACTCAGTTTCTTCCTGATGGTAAGAGAGACACTTGGAAAGTACCTCAATCTCCTGCCTGCCTGTTGTGTGTTAACAGTTCTGGTGAGCCTCTATTACTCATGGGAATGACAAAGGTGAACAAGAACTCTGTTTTGATGGGGAAAAGATTGAAAAATTCTCCTCTTAAGTTGCAAAAGTTAAATCCACAAATTCTGAGAGTCTATCATTGAACTATTTCTTTAGTCCAGAGTTTTTCAACCTCTCCGCACTACTGATACTTTGGACGAGCTTTTAGTAAGGGAGCTGCCCTGTGCATTGGTGTGGGGCAGCATCCCTGGCCTCTACGCACTAGATGCTCGTAGCACCGCCTCACATACAGCTGTGATTCCCAAAAATGTCTCTGGACGCTGCCAAACATGCTCTGGGGTGGATGGATTAGGGGGTGGTGTGTGTGTGTGTGAAATTGCCCCTGGTTAAGAGCCACTGCTCTAGACTTAGAAACAGAGGATTTTGTCAACATGGACTAAAACAGAAACGGATCTTTTTCATTTATCGTTAGATTGACAGTTTTTACCCGACCTCTACGACTTTTCGTTCTGTTAAGAGCTGTTAATCTGGATCATCAAGAAAGACACCTTGAAGTGCTGACCAGAAGGATCGTAAGTGGACAAAAAATGTCAATGATGCAAAAAAATGTTTGTATTTTGGAAAATACTTGCAAGCATTGTAGATATCCATATATTCTTTTTTTTTTTTTACAAATTAATGATGCTTTAAACTCTCAGGTTTCAGAAAACAAACGGCGATACGAAAAGGATGGATTTGACTTGGACCTCACTTATGTTACTGGTTTGTGAACTTTAACTGTTGATTTGCCTATATAAAGGTCACATTTTTCTTGTGTGTGAGTAATTATATGATTATTTTGTTCTTGTCCTGTCTAAGCCATATTCTTTCAAAACATTCTTTATCCTTGAAGACATACGCCACTCTGGTAGTGTGACATATTTGGGGTTTAACCCTGACAGTGGAAAATCTTAGTTGTCATCTAAAATCCAGCCTACTTGTTTATAGTACAGAAAGTTGGATGGATTTTCACCTGACTCCATTTGTTTGGCTTAGAATTTATTGAGTTCTAGTAGTTACCCTTGGTCCCAAGGATTTCAGAGAGACCTGTTCTTTAGAACCCCAGAGATAAGGTCATTGCTTTGTAGGTCTCAGGTTTCTGAGTCAGGAGCACTGGAAAGCACCCTGGGAATTCCCAGCATTGCTGGAGCCCAGAGTTCTCATTTTATTTTGGTGTTTAAATAAGAAATAAATTCCTACCACAGGGGGGCGCTTCAGGCTAACGTCAACACAAATCTGTTGCGTAAGGCTTGGAACCAAGTGAGTCTTCAACACTATGTTGAGTTTAATGGTCATAATATTGGATACTTCAACATGTTATGTTGATTATCCTGAGGGTTAGTTAGCTTTTTTGTTGTCCTTCTCAATCCTGACAGTTCTTTCTATGAAGAAGGAGTCTGATTACATGTAAACTGAGTTCTCATATATTGTTTCACATCTGTAACCTATAACATTCATAATAGTGACTGTTTTGACTTCCAGAACGTATTATTGCCATGTCATTCCCATCTTCTGGAAGGCAGTCTTTCTATAGGAATCCCATTAAGGTAAGGGGATTTATCCAACAAATTCTCATATTTCTCAGTAAACAGACTGTGGAGTCATAAGATAATATTGGCCCAAAGATTGTAGTATTCTCCTAAAAACTTACTCTTTCAGGTAAAAAATTATCATGGGTTGATATCAACTAGCTTTTGCTGTGTTACAAACCACTTCAAAACTTAAATGATTTATATTTGCAATTGTTTACTTAGCTCATGATAATGTGGTTTGTGAATTTGAGTCGGGCTTAACTGGGTGGTTCTGCTGATCAGCGACTGGCTTTCAGCAAAGCCAACTCATGCATCTGTGGGCAGCTCCTGGACGTCTGAAGGTTGGCTAGTCTAAAACAGCATGACTGGATGTCTCCATGCGATGTCTCATTCTCCCAGGTGGCTAGCTTGGGCTTGTTCATGTAAGGCAGTGGCAAGGACCCCACGAGCAGCAAGCAAAAGAATGCAGAGCCCCTAAATGCCCAGGCTCAAAACTAGGATAATGTGGCTTCTGCCTCACTCTATCAGACAAGGAAACAACAAATGCAGTCTAGATTAAAAAAGTAGAAAATGGATTTCATCTCTGGCAGACAGGAATTGCAGCAAATTATGGCCATTTTTTGTGGTCCATCCTAGGGGAGAAGGATGAGAATTCTTTAACTAAAATGTGTATTCTTAGGTTTAGAGCCTAAATTACGGTGGAAGCATACTGCTTTAGATTCTGTAGGTTAAAGTTCAAACATTAAACAATGTTTACTATGAAATTCCAGTTTAAAGTCATTGTTTAAGAAGTTTATGTGTGTGGGGGTGTGTATACAGTAGTGCACCTTCAGTCATTTTGCTCAGGTACGTCATTAAAGTAATATATTAATTTTTCCAGTACAGTTGTGTTTCATACTATTTTTGACATTCCAATACTCTAGAATATGTTAGAAAGAAACATAAAATATTCACAATTGTTCAGAAAAGCAAGCAAAATGAACCTGCCCAGTTCTTCTGAAATGGTCATGTTGGCTTCATCAGCATATTAATTCTACAAAATAGTAAGCAAATGTTTGAATACAGTTTCCAAGATAAAACACATTTTCTCATAAATAATAAAATTTTTTCTCAAACACCACAAAAGTATACAAAAGAATTTTAGTTTTGAACAGATCTCTCAGAATGTGTTTAACCTGATATTTCAACAGAATTAACATTTCCATGGTTTCACAAGGATCAGATTTTTAATTAGAGGAAAAAAACAACTGCCTTGAAAGATGTGAACTCAGTCATTAGTAATAGAAATAGTATCCCACTGTATTTACATCTTATAAAAACAGAAAAAGATAACATTTCCCCCAGAATAATGTGTATATAATTATATATAATATGTATTATATATACTGTCCTATATATCATATATTAGATGATATATAGTATATATAATTATACAATATTTATTAGAATAATATTTCCTCTTAAAAATAAATTGAAATATATATTATGTGTTATATAGTATATAGTTGTATAACAAAATTACATATAAATCATATAAATATATATTACTCTTTATAAATGTATATTGCATAATTGTATACAACATAATTATTTCTTTTTTTGGTAATTATTTCTATATAATGTTATATAATATATATTATCTTACCTAGGTTGTATTATATAACATATATATATATAAACACATATATATTACATATAAATATATATTATTCTAGGGGAGCAAATTTTGTATTTTTCTGTTTTTGCGAGAGATGAACATATGTAATTTATATACTATAAATAATATATGACTACCATGAAACCCTTTAATTCACATGGTAAATTTTGAAACTATGACCAAAATTTGAAAACTGCCAGAGCTGTCAGAAAAAGACAAGACAAAATCTTTCTTGCATCTGTATAAACTAAAGGTGATATTCTCCAAAAGAATTAAGAATTGTAATTATTACCTTTCACTTTAAAAACTACTTGATTACGTAAAAATTTCATGTGGTGTAAATCAGAACTGAATGTGAAATACTGCACGTTCAGTGTTTCTAACAGCCTTTCCATCAGTTCAGCGGTGACTGCTGCGGCTTCCTTGTCAGTGTCTGTGGATGATTCTGAGAGAACCTCTCCATCCCGACTGGTATTGGTTCCTCCTGATTCTTCTGTTTCATGACAGTCAAGATCCTGCTAGCAGGGCCTTTCACCATCTTCAGGAGATTCCTCCATTTGATTTTTCCTCAGAAGTCTCTTCATTCATGGTTAAGGGACCATCAGATTCTTTTTCTTGATTGTTTTTTTCTGGAATCACTTCTGATAGATGCTGTTAAAGATTCTCTTCCTCTCCATTCTCTTCTGTACAGTACAGCCTGATACAACTACCTTCTTTGTCTTTATTCTTAGATGGAGACGGTTCTTCTGTTTCTTCTTGCATAACTGAAGATATTTCACTAGAAGTTGTTTGGCCATCTCTCTGACTTCACTTTCTTTGTCAAACTTGAGATTTTTAACCTCCTACCCCTCAGCTTCTAGAGCATCTAATTTAGATGTTTATTTTTTATACAGCTCACTGAGAAACCTTCTGATCGAGATGTCAGAGAGTCACTGTGATTTTTGTCCTCATCATGGTTTAAGTTTGTAAGGACTCTTTGCTGACTGTGATCTCAGGAAAACCATTTCTTTCTCTCTTTGTTTTTTCCCCTCTCCTCTCTCCCCCTTTTCCTTCCATCCTTCATTCTCTCTCTCTTAACTATATAAGTTTCGGGTGCTCAGCACTATGATTCAACATCTGTATACAATACAAAGTGATCACCACTGTAAGTCTAGTTATCTTCCATCACCATACAGTTGACCCTCTTTACCCATTTCACCCACACTTCAAATCCCTTTCCCTCTGGTAACCACTAATCTGTTCTCTTTATCTTCCAGTTTGGTCTTGTTTTCTTTTGTTTGCTTTTTTTTTTCAGATTCCACATATGAGTGAAATCATACAGTGTTTGTCTTTCTCTGCGTAACAGCTTCACCTAGCATATTTTCAGGGTCCATCCATGTTGTTGCAAATGGCAGGATTTCATTCCTTTATGGTTGAGTAGTATTCCATTGTGTGTGTGTGTGTGTGTATCACATCTTCTTTCTTCATCTGACAGTGCACATTTAGGTTGTTTCCATATCTTGGCTACTGTTAATAATGCTACAATCAATATAGGGGTGTGTGTATCTTTTGGAATTAGTGTTTTTGTGTGTGTTCTTTGGCTATATACCCAGAAGTGGAGTAGCTGGGTCATATGCTAGTCCTATTCATAATTTTGGGAGAGAATCTCCATTCTGTTTTCCATAGTGGCTGCTCTAATTTACAGTCCTACAAACAGTGTTTGAGTGTTCCCTTTCCTCCACATCCTTTCCAACACTTGTTATTTCTTGTCTAGCAGGTATGAGGTAACGTTGTGGGTTTGACTTACATTTCTCTAGTAGTTAGTGATGTTGAACATCTTTTCATGTGCCAGCTGGCCATCTGTAAGTAATAGTAAATCTTCAGAACTTGTGTATAAATCCTCCAAATTTGTACTTATTTTACTTTTTACCTTTTAAAACAATGTGTTATTAGATTTTTCTGTACAAGGATTTGGATTTCAAGATTCAGAATGAATATGTTATCTTGCTATCTATTTTTCATTTTCATTTTTAAATGATATTTTAATATTCATTTTGGACTAAAATATATGTGGTAAAGTTGTTGTATTTTATAATTATATGTGGTAAAATGCACAAAAGAGTATAGCTTGAGATTTGGCAAATTTATATACCCATGTTACACTGTAGTCAAAATGTTGACTATTTCCAGCATCTTAGGAAGTTGACTGGTGCTCCAGCCAATCCTCCTGTCGAGCAGAAGGGAGCACTGTTTTAATCTCTACACTATGGGCTAGCTTTGTCAATTCTTGAAACAGATACAAATGAACACAAGGCATCTGCTTCTTGTATCTGGCTAATTTTGCTCAATTATTATTTGCAGAGTCATCTGTATTTTTGTGTATATCAGTAGTTTGTTCCTTTTATTGCTGGCATATATTTTATCGTATGTGTATATCACAACTTGCTTATTTCTCCTATTGATGGACCTTGTCTTGTTTCTAACATTTTGCCCTTAAGAATAAAGCACCAAGGTGTGGGAAGAGGTGCAAAATAGGTGAAGGGGATGACGAATTGGGAGCATTAATGGACCCATTCTATCTTATTCCAAGGCAGGGAAATGTTTTTCTGCATGCAAAAAAATTACAGGCAATAACCAATACATACTCAGAGATCTGGGCAGTTATATAAAATCCATTTATAAATGTTTATTTTAAAAAGGACTTGAAAATGAGGATCTGAACCATATCTTGCCCAGGTGAGACTATTTATAAGATATCACAATTTTACCACTCCCTTGGCCAATTTTGAAAAAATTTCCGAACCACTAGTTCATGTGGAAACTACATTATCTCTTCCACAGTGAAAACAGTTATGGAGTAATTCGACCAGGGTTTATCGGATGGATTATAGCACCTCAGGGAAGCCATCTCAAAATTGCCAGACTCCATCTTTATGAACAAAGCACCCCTCAATTACCAATATTGCTTTTCAGTAGGTTGAGCTGATAACTATGAGTTAACTCTAAGTTGTCTAAAGGAAGCCAGTTTTCTTTTGTAGATTTGGTGGTGATAAATACCAATCTGACAACAATTCATATTAGCTGGGGTGTTTTCTTAAAAAGGCCCAAACTTCATTTAGAACGTGAACCCGAGCAAAGACATCACTCTTGGCTCCTGATGGTCTCTGGACCATCTAGACTGAGTGGTTTCTATCGGTTATTATGCTCTTATCTCCTTGGAATATTGGCAAAGTTCTAAGTCATTGATCTCTTTACCATTTTTAATCAGCATATCTGAGGAAGAAATAAATCCTCTGTTTTCATAAAATCCATAAATCATGAACCACCTCAAAAACATATCTGCTGCCCATATTAGCATTCACTCATCTTTTGTCGGCATGCTGGTTCACGTCTGAGGTGTTAGTTCAGCTAAGGCCGGTCAGCCTGAGAACTGGGCAGTGGAGCTGCCTCTGTGGTTGTTTGTTTAGTGATCACAGTACATCTGGCACAGAGAATGCCTTTGTCGTTTTTATGTTAAGAGGCATCCACAAACTATGTTAAATCAAGGTTGACTAAAGGGTGCAATATTCAGTTCTGGCCATGGTTGACTCCTGACATAAATGCTAAACAGTCCTGTGGTTCCCCTTTATTCTTAAGAGGGAAGAAAGTTGCAGGGTTATATTTTGAACATCATTGAATAGTAATAGAGCAAACACTAGAATTTCAAGCAAGCACTGTGGTGGAAGTTTGATCTCTGTGGCTACCACATGCCAGTAAGGAGGGTGAACCTTCATCTCCAAAGCAAGGAACATGATAAGATAGACAATGGGCCTCTGTTTTCTCAATATTAAGCCAGGAAACATTGCTCTGAGGGTACTACACTAATCAAGTTTTGAACTTTTTTACAGTCATGTTTGTTGTTATAGACACACTTGCACGTGTATGTGTTTCAGATGGATAAGTTGGCTGGAAATATTGTTGTATCAGTATGGTGATATTAATTATACTTTAAATAATAACCACTATTTATTTCTCATTTTTAAAATTATACATGTACACATGTGTGTGTACACACATACACGCATGCATGCATTTATATTCATTTTGGAATGTAAGAAAACATAGACGAGCCAAGAAAGTCTCTGCATTGCCACCAGTTATCTAAAATGTAATATAATGTCTTTATCATTTTCTCTCATGTGTACACATAGACAATCATGCCATACCTTTTTTGCCTTTATTTATTTAAACTGTGCTTGAGTAACTTGTAACATCCAGATTCTTATGTAAAAGGCCTATCTATTCAGAATCAGATCCAGGTAAGAACCACATGTTACTGTGAATTAACGATGTGAGACAAATTTTCTTAAAGCTTGTTAAGCCTCTAATTTCCCTCTCTGGTAGCTTTAAACAATGTGTGTTTATAGTCGAGGCTAATCAGAGTCGTCAGGGACAACTTTGGGGGGCTATTTGAAGGTTAGATATGACTTGGACTGTGTGTATCCTTCTAGTCCCTGAGTCACCCCTAAAAGGTGCTATGTGAGGGACAAGTGAATAAAAAGTAGTAACCATTTTAGGTGACTCCTAGGAAATGGTTTGTGTTGGTGCCACGTGGACATATGTAAGGTATGTGTCAATCTTTTGTAGGAAGTCATGCGGTTCCTGGATACGAAGCATCCAGACCACTATCAAGTCTACAATCTTTGCAGTATGTACATGACTAGACATTTTGCTACGATAGATAGAAAACAGATCACTGCATATAAGAAGATGATTCTGTTTTTACATTTTATTTAATCATAAGTATTGTTGGTTGCCCCAGCCCTCCATGGTAGGAAAAGATAACCCAAGAGCACAAATAAAGTGCCCTGTGAGGGAGGCGGGGGACTGGAGGGGGAGGCATTTTAGCAGGAGTCGGCTCTAGTGGTAGCAGGTTTAGGAGAATATTTCTGTTTTTCCTGCCAACTTGTGTTTTGAAGACAAGACAGTTCGACAAATGCATTCTCTAACCCGCTAGGAATGAGGTGTAAGGTGACTAGGGCCCTATGTGGGAAAAACAATAAAACCCTGTAGAAAACAGATTACATCCCAGCTTGCTACTCTCGTGATTTTTTTTCTCTTTCTGAATATTAAATGGACATTTTCAGGCTGTAGGCCTTCCGGTTGGCCACATTTGCTTCTGCTCTGTGTAACCTTATGCTAATGTAACAAGTAGTCTGGTAGAAAATTACAAGTCAGGCTTAGTAAATAAACCAAGATAATGTGGGCTTAACTTCCTCAAGATAGACAAACCACTACTATACTTACGTTTTTAAGACCCTTCTGTTTCTTTTGGAGCAGCAGGAGCCAATCAGAAAGCTCCTTTCAAAGATAGATAAAGAATTTCTAATAGGAAAGTATAACCTAATCATAACTTGATCACTTACTATGCTTGTTAAGATTAGAGATATGACCTATGCATCGTGTATTTCAGGTGAAAAAGCTTATGACCCCAGGTACTTCCATCACAGGGTCCGTCAGTACATGATTGATGATCACAATGTCCCCTCTCTGATGTAAGTGTGATGCCAGGTTGGCCGTCAGAAGAGGGCTAAATAAGCTGGGCTTGATTTTGGGGGACGGATTTTAATTCAGCTAAAACTCTTACCTTTGAATCAGTGAGATGTTGGCGTTCTCCAGAGACGTAGAAAAGTGGATGGCTCAAGACGAGAAAAACATCATAGTGGTTCACTGCAAGGGGGGCAAAGGTAAAAACGTTTTTCTGTTTGATTTCTTTTTCTAAAGAAATTTGAAAAATGTATTAAAGTGTGTGAACAAGATACATACTGCGGTTAACTGGTATTAATCATTGTTAACATCTTATACTATTAGCTTCAAGACTGAAGGAAGGGAAAGAAGTGGGGAGGAAGGGAAGAAAGAGTAAAGAAGGGAGGAATAGATAAACAAGATTATACTGTATAGCACAGGGAAATATACACAAGATCTTATGGTAGCTCACAGAGAAAAAAATGTGACAATGAATATATATATGTTCATGTATAACTGAAAAATTGTGCTCTACACTGGAATTTGACACAACACTGTAAAATGATTATAAATCAATAAAAAACGTTTAAAAAAAAAAGAAGGGAGGAAAGCAGGAAGAGGAGAACTAAGGAAGGTTGAGCGTGATTTCTCTTGTCTATTTTCAAATGTCCTGGCATCAGATTGTTTACAACATCATCTAATACTAATGTCTACAGTGGGTTCCCTTTTTCATTCCTTACATTACTTTCTTGGCATCTTCTTTCTTTTTTCTTTTGATTAGTCTCATTTGGGATTTATTAATTTAATTAATCCTTTCAAAGAACCCAGTTTTCTGGCTTTACTGATTTTCTCTGATATTTGTTTTCTATTTCATCAGTTACTATATATCTTTAGTGTTTCCTTTCTTCCACTTTCTTTGGTTTAATTTGTTGTTCTCCTAACTTCTTGAGGTGGATGATTAAGTCATAGATTTTCAGCCTTTCTTTTCTCTTTAGCACTTAAGGCTACAAAAGGGGCTCTAAGAATTGCTTTAGCTTCCTCCAAGTATTTATATGTAGTATTTTCATTATTGTTTAGTTCAAAATATTTTCTAATTTTCATTGTGCTTGTTTCTTTGACTCATGGGTTATATAGAAGTATATTTTCTTATTTTTGAACATAGGATTTTTTTTATTATTTTCTAGTTATTGATTTTGATTGTATTGTATTGTGGTCAGAGAACATATGTATTTTTTTTCAGTTCTTTGAAATTTGTTTAGACTTGCTTTATGGCCCAGAATTTGGTCAGTTTTATCAAATGATTTCTGTGCACTTGGAAGTGTATGGTGCATTGTGGTGAATAGTGTTCCATATGTGTCCATTAGGTTGTTTGTTAATTGTTTTATTCAAATCTTCTGTATCCTTACTGACATTTTGGTTTGATCGAATTTTTACAGTATAATTTCTTCCTCCCCCACTATTAACTTGGAAGTCATACACTCTTTTGATACTCCTTTGGTAATTACTCTAAAAATTTCAACCTGCATCCTTCTAGCTATCAATTTTTTAAAATGTTGACCTTGTCTCTAGCAATCTTCCTCAACTCTCTCAGTAGTGTTAGCAGTTAGCTTATAGATTTACTTGGATTTTTCTAGTCTGCAAATAATGAGCTCAGTGGTAGAGTGCGTGCCTGGCCTTTCCAAGAAAGAACTCCAGTGGAGGGACTCACACTTAAAAAGCTAAAACCTTTGTCCAACATCAAAAGTTTAGCAAATGAATATATATTTATGTTGTAAGTTGAAATACTGAAGACAAATATAAATCATTTTTTTAATTTTTATTTATTTTTGTTGGGGAGGTAATTAGGTTTATTTATTTACTTATTTAATGGAGGTACTGGGGATTGAACCCAGGACCTTGTGCGTGGCTGGGCATGCGCTCTACCACCGAGCTATCCCCTCCCCTCAAGTATAAATTGTTGGAATGATTCCTTGAATACCTGACTTGACTGGATGAGAGAGCATCTACTACATCTGTGGTTGTACTTCTCCACAGTCACCAGGAAGTGAATCAGCAGAAGTTTCTTTCAAATGGGAAAATATTAGGGTTATAAAGACCCAGAGATGTCATCTAAAATTGAAATGTTCACAGTCTATACAACTGAGAGCTAGATTGTTAATGGTCAATAGCCTTTTCTAACAAGAAGTTTTTATTGATCACAGCACAGGATGGTACAAAGTCCTCTTTGGAAGTACTTGTCTTAGTGGTTTTCAAACTACAGTTTGCAAAATAAATTTAGGTTCATTTTTTTTAAAGGATAGAATAGAAAAGAGAGTGTATCTCAAGTTAAAAGGGTTGGTTTGGAATTACATAAAACGAGTTCAGCCTGTACTGGCTAAGACAAAAGCTGCAGATCATTGTAGAAATAAAAGAAGCAACATACTTTTTAAACTCAAATTTTTGTGTGGCAGGACAAAAATATAAAGTGGAATAAAACATGGGACTTTGAGGATGAAATGGCATGAAATCAAGTTTGCTTTAAAATGCTCCAGGAGAGAGGGAAGGGGAGAGGGAGGGAGGGAGGGAGAGAGGGAAGAGAAGAAAAATTAAACAAGTATAGTAATTAATATGACATGGAATCTGGAAAACAGGAATATGGGGGTTCATTGTACTGTTCTTCCTGCTTTCAAATGTTTTGTAACACACTGAAACTCTCAAATGGAAGAAATAATAGGTATTTTGCCAGGGCTAGACGATGTTTTGCGTCCTGTCCATGTTTTATAGTTTCTCTTACTGACGTCAGTAGAAAAGCGGGATGTGGCATCAGCCCTTCCCTGGCGAGCATCTCTTCAGCTGTAGAGCCCTAGAGCTGACTGCCGCTGTCTGCTCCTGCAGGCGCAGGGGTCCTGATCCGGAGCAACATGCGTGTGCCCATTCAGGCACACAGTCAGCACCACATTCCAGGTGGAGCTTCAGGGTCAGGAAACAGCTTTGGCTATCTCTGAATATTTTGAACTAGTACTTTTAGGGTGAAAGAAAAATCAGTCCAACATGAACTGTATTTCTGAGGGTAGTAGTATCCTCAGGACTGCCATGAACTATGGTCCTGAACGAACTTCTTTTCTAGGAAGAACTGGGACCATGATTTGTGCCTACCTGCTTGCCAGTGAACAATTTACAACTGCGGAGGTATGGAAGATGCTGCCACAGACTCTGTCTTAGGCTGATTGAATTTGCCAGCTTTGCAGCCTCACTGGGAGGATGCGAGATGATTCCCTGTGTCATGGTACTTGGTGAAATTGTAATCAGAGAGGCGGTTATTTGGAAGCTGGGTTTTGATATTTTCCTGTTTAGCTAGTGCTAGTGAGTAACTGACCTAAGTGTCTCTTCCTCTGGGCCAGGACCGAGGGGTGAGGTCAGCGAGACGCTCATCTCAGGCACAAGATGTAAGGGAATGCCCAACTCTCAGTAATTAAGATCAATAATTTTCTAATGCGATATTTTTTAAAACCAAAATTAATGCCCAAAGATCCATCGTGGATACAATGCCAACATTTTAAATAAAGACAGGACCCAGTAGAGGCAGGGGTAGTGTGAAAGGAGTAAGGTCGAATTATGCAGGTGCAAAAAGCCTCAGCGTCCAAGAAGCTTGACTTGCCTCCCCTGGTCGCAGGCCTGCTCTCACTCCCACCAGCTGTAGGCCTTCCTCCTTCCTCACAAGAGTGACATGAAGACTGGTTAGGGAAATTTTCTAAGGACCCTGCACATCCTTGGAAGTGCTAGTAGGTAAAAGGCATCCTTTTCCAACTCGGAACAAAGTCTCTCTGGGATGTTACTATCTTTCCATAGTCAGTATCTGTGGGGCCGGCGCCCTCTGGAAATTTCTGAGAAGACAGGAAGGGCTGCTTCTACTTCATAAAGCAGGGTTCTCACTCTTTTGTCTGCTGTGATCTTGCTGAGAAGCTCCCACTTGGAGGGCACACTCCCAGCAGCTCTGCTCCTCCCTCCACCTGCGGCCCCGAGAAGATTGGCTGGGGTTCTGCACAGGGCCCAGCGCTCTGATGCCGCCGGTGGCTTTCTTCCCATTTGAGACCCACAGCCTAGGAAAAGGGACGTTCTAGGACAAACTGTGGGTCGCAATCTCTTAGTGAGTTGTGAAATCAATTCATTGGCTTGTGACCAGCACTTTTAAAATAAAATGGAATAGATTAGAATAGAAAACATCAAAAGGTAAGTACTGTTTTGTGAAGCTTTTGTTTTAGTTGTGTGTGTGTATGTGTTGGTATCTCCCAGGTTTATGAATGTGGATTGTAGCTTTAAAAACAAGTTTGAAAGCCGCTGGTCTGGAGCCCAAGACCAGTGCTCCAGGCCTGGGCCAGCTCTGACAGGCTGTTACATCTCCAATGACAGGCCACTTGGTTTTCTTTTGGTCTCAGTTGTTTTCATTTGTAAAATGGAAAAATGGGAAGAAGGACCAGATGATCTCTGAGGTCTCCCCAGCTCTGAAATTCCACGTCTTTATGACCGTTTGAATGAGGGCAGGCCTTGATGTGGCTCTGTTAACTCTGTTATGTTGGGTAGCCTCTGCCCTGAGACCACTGACTTAAGGAAATAACGCGTCCTTAGGAGCTTTAAGAATGCCTTATTCGGGAAAGGAAAGTGCAGATGACCCATGATCGGACTGTCCCCTTTTCTGCAGGACAGCCTGAATTATTTTGGAGAACAACGAACAGATAAATCCACCAGCAACAAATATCAGGGAATAGAGACTCCTTCTCAGGTAAGTTTTCTTTTTTAAAAGGGAGGGTGCTCCGAGGAATTAGGCGACGATTGGTGCCTATCACCTAGTCTCCCTGTAGCCTGTCCTCCTTGGGTGCCCGTGCCAGGCCGTGGTCCCTCCAGAGGCCGCGAGCCCTGCACGGCGTTGCCTGCGCTTTGCCAGCACCGAGTTCTCCCCAGAGCACCCTGCTTCCCGTTTTATATTGGCTACTGTTTGCAGAGTTCAGGAGCTGACTCCCTTACCAAAGCAGGAAGGGCCAGTTCCAAAGGATCCAGACCCCTGAAGATTATCTAAAGTCGCCATCCTTTTATTTTCCTGTGAAGAGGAACTGAGTCTTTCACAAGCCCCCTTAGGGCAACTCAGCTCTTGCAGAACATCACAAGCGTGTGTGTATATACACACATGTGCGAGTGGGGAGGAGGAGAGAGGCAGAGACAGAAAGAAGGTGGGAGGAAAGAAAGGAAAAAAGTAACATTTTTCAAAAACCTATTATACACTAGACACTATTGTACTTTTACATATTTTTTAATACTCAGACAATCCACGTGAAATATATGCTATTTCCCTATTTTTTTCCTTTTGAAAACATTTTGTTACGGGCTTTTTCAAACATAAAAAGGCAAGATAGTCGTACATTAAACCCCCTTGCAGTCATCACACAGCTTCAGCAACCGTTTCATCACGTAGCCAGCCACGTTTCATCCCTTCCCTCCCCGCCTCCTCACGCACACCCACGCACCACGTTTTCTCTAAACCCAGATTATTTGAAGGAAATCCCAGACATCAGATCATTTTATCCCGTAAGTATCCCACCAAAAAACCCCCCAAAAAACAAAAAACCTTAAAACCATTTACATATCTAAAATGTTAGACCTTAATATCAAATATATAGTCCTTATTTTTATTTCCATAATTATCTTAAAATCTTTAAAATTTAGTTTGTTTCAATCAGGATCCAAACAAGGGTGCACATTTCATTGGGTTGCTATGTCTCTTTGTCTCTTTTTGTTGATAAGTTTCCCATTTCTCTTTTATTCCTTGTAATTTATTTACTGTAGAAACCGGGGCATTTATCCTATAGAATTTACAACATCCTAGACTTTGGTGAATCATGCTGAAAGTTTTGCATTCATTACCTCATTTAATGTTCTCAGTAATTCAGTGAGTGGGCACCATTATGATTCCCATTCTACAGAATGGGAAATTGAGGCTCAGAGAAATTAACTTTTTGAACCAAGAACTGAAATCCAGATCTATCAAACTTTGAAGCCTGTTATTTCCCATCCTGTGAACAGATTCTCACCTCTTGCCTTTTCTATGTTGCCCCTCACACCAAAGTGAGGGGGGTTGGGAATTCTTAAGTCAACACGGGTAGGGCTGTGAATGGACGTTTTCTTTGAGTTAAGTGATGGGAGCTGAATAGACACCCTCGGCTTCGTTAGCAGAACACTGTTAACTGCCGGCTCAGGACATCTAATTTGGGGTAAAAGAATTCAGCCTTATCCACTGATATTTTTCTGCCACACCCAACCAAAAAAAGAAGGAAAAAAGACAGCCCCAGGCCATAGGCTAAAAGCAACACGTGAACTACTGAAGCCCAGCTCTCATCATGCCTTTTCATGCTCAAAATCCACACTGGCTTCCCACTGCCAATGGCAACAAACATGCTGGAAGCTAGCATTCAAGATCTTCTACGATTTGATTTTTTTCAACCATTTCTTCCACTGCGTGCATCCACATGTCTTGTGCTCTGACACGTCTGGACTGCTTGCCGTTCCCAGGCCTGTCTGCGTTTCACCCCCACGTGCTCACGTGGGCCCCTTGTCTTGGAGCCCATTTCCCCTCCCAGCCTGAAGCAGTCTCCCGCCTTTCCAGTTCACAGAGTCCTTTGCGTTTTAGAGACTGAGTTACTTGACGTTCTCCAGCTATTGGGACTGGTGTCTTCTCCATCTTTCCACCCTCGGCATCCCGAGGTGCCTCATGCAGTCTCCTTTGTTTGCAGCAAGGGCATACTAAGTACATGTTGGTTTTATTAACTTCTGCTACAAGCCCTCGCTGTATGGGGCTGCAGAAGGAAGAGTGAGAACAGAAGCAGCTCAGGGGCCAAGATGGGTCACAAACCTTTAGTGGAAGGTGGCCGGAGAATCTGGAGGCAGGAGCTCTTGCCAGCAGCTCTCCCCCATTTCCTCAGTGGTCACGCGCAGTTCCTCTAACTTGAGTTCAGACGTGGCACACCCTAGGCTACAGCTGAGTCTGTTCTGATTCACTGGGCTAGCGATGCGGGAACTCGGCCCCATGACAGAGTTCCCTCCTTGCGGGGCGGTGATGCTCAGGTACCAGGCCCGCCTGGTCCTGCCCTGTTGTGGGCCGTTCTACACACTGCATTTCATCCGCCCCTGAGTTAAGAACATGCCAGGGCTTTCTCTTAATTGGCCCTTTCCGATGGAGAGTATGGTAGTTAATTTTACTAACACTTTCCAGTGGGTGGGGAAGGGTTGGTGGCTATTTAACTCCCCATTGATTCAGTACCAAAACTCTTCGGCTTTTAGAAAAAGATTCAAGGAGAGCCCTTTGAGTGGCTTGGCATAGGAGAAGGACTAGGCTAAGAGAATCCCCAGGGCTTCCTTGCAGAAGTAGAATTGGGGAAATGGAAGGTGAGGCAGTGCTAGCTGGCTGGGACCAAGAGAAGGCTGCGCACGATGTGCTGCTGGCCTCTGGAGGTCTCCCCTTGAGTTTTCACATGTTCCTTCTCGCATGCTGGGGAGGCCATTCTCCACCAAACACAAACCTTCCTTTGACTCAGTCACGGCCAAGCTTCTCCCCTCAGACCTACCTGTCTCACAGTTGCGCTTAACTGCATCTTGCTGTGATGTCATCGTCTGTTGCTCTCAATCCCAGCAGCCTCTGAACAGCACCTGGCTCCTCCCTTGTTACTTCCCTGGGGCTCTTATCTCAGTCTTTTTTCCTAAGGTATATATTCCATTGTGAGGCAACATACGGTTGTGAGGCCAAAATGCCTTATTATGTAAATAGCACCTGATAAATGTTTTTCCTTCATCTATCTATTCCTCTCCTTAAGAAAACTCAGGAATGCTGACTACAGACTCTTCACCTCCACTTACATTGAGACTTCTCTCGTTTTGCAGAGTAGATTTGTTGGCTATTTTGCGCAGGTGAAAAATACCTACAACTTGCATCTTCCTCCAAGGAAAATACTCAACATAAACAAGTTTGTGATTTATTCAATTCACGGTAAGTGCTCTGTGGAGAACTGGAGAACTGGGCAGGGGGGTCGATGTTCTTACCGTTCCAGACAGTTTTCCCAGGGTTCTGTACTCTCTCCCTCCACCAGGCTGTGGATGTGATGTGACTGATTCGGCAGGATGCCACTCTATTTTTTAAAATAAACTTCTTGGTACCAAGTTTTGGATAGTTCTATTCCAGGTGTTAGTAAATTCTATTCAAGAATGTGGTGTTAGAACAAACTTAAATGAAAACAAACATAATAGAGAACAATCGAGCCAATGACTTGATTAGAATACTTGTTTTAGTTCTGTACCTTTAGTTCTGTGCATATTTAAGTGAAATGTGCAAGGCTGGAAGGAGAGCAACAAAAATTAACTGGATGCTTGAGAAACCAGCCCTTTAAGGAAATACTAAAGTAAATGGGTCAGTTGAAAAAAAAGAGAGGAAGAAACCAATTGTAAATACATACTGAACATAGCGGGAATGTTTGGTTATGGCTATGTATGTATTTTCATAAAGACTGTAAAAGGAACTGGACTAGGGCAAGAGGCATTTAGACTATTCAATATTAAGAAACATCATGACTAGAAGTCTGAAGAAAGCAACGTATCAGCAAGAAAGTTTACAAGTCGCCTAATTTTTTTTTCTAGAAAGGTAAAGCCATGAGTTTCTAAGTCTAAAAAACTGAACTGTGTCTTTCTTTCCTCCAGCCTTATAAATTCTGCTTTAGGGGACAGGATTGGACTTAAAGACTTGTCTTTCAAAGAGAAAATCCATTGCAAGATCCAGATGATTCAATATTGATGCATTGTTAGCTGGGATAACTTTTTCTCTTTTTAATCCATATTGTTAATTGGTGAGACATTTTGATCTTTGCTCTAACCAGCCTAACTCTTTAATTTCATTCAGGCGTTGGAAAAGGTGATGGAAGTGATCTAGAAATACAAATAATGATGAAACGAAAGACTGTCTTTTCCTGTTCAGCTTCCAGATACTGTAAGGTAAGAGAAAGTATGTGAACTGAACATTCTGGTGTTTGTTTTAAATCCAGATGTCAGCTCAGCATATTGACCTCCCCAGACCATTGCTCACCACAGGGAGAGGTCACGTTGCTCTCTGGTACCATCCAACGTGGTGAGCCTGGATTTGGATTCAAGTCAAGAGCTAAATTAAATTCATTGTTCAAAAATAGTTTTCAGGGCATTTTCCAGAATACATTTTCAGTTCAGAGAGGTGCTTTGCCTTCACTTTTCTACCAACGCCAGGCATGTTCCCCGAAATCTATCTGAGTTTTAAATTCATAAATCTGGTCACTTTTAGTCCTATTCTCTTCTTCTTGATCATTTTATTATATGGCACTGATTCTGAAATCTTAATATGCCTGAAAATAACCAGAGACTTGTAAAGATGCAGGTTCCTAGGCTGTACCCCAAAAGTGTGATTCAGGAAATCTGGAATGGGGTTTAGGAATCTCTAGACTTAGCAATGACTTCTTAAAGTCAGGGCTTCCCTTTTTTATTTTCTGCCCGGATGAGCTGTTCATTGCTGTAAGTGGGGTGTGAAAAAATCTCTTACTATTATTGTATTGCTGTCTGTTACTATTAGCTTTACATATTGAGGTACTTCTGTGTTGGGTGCATAAACATCTTCAAGTGCTATATATCCTCTTGCTGGATTCTTTTATTACTATGTTAATGTTTTTTCGTCTTTTGTTAAAGCCTTTGTTGTTTTAATTTTTTAATTCTTTTGGATGTTTTTAAAAGTATCGTTGATGTCCAATATTATGTTACAGGTGTACAACATAGTCACAATTTTTAAAGGTTATATTCCATTTATAGTTATTACAAAATATTGGTTATAGTCCCTGTATTGTTCAATATATCTGTAGCTTATTTCACATGTAAGTTTCTACCTCTTTGTCCCCTGCCCCTCTTGCCCCACTCCATTACCTCTCCTTGTTGGTAAGTACTAGTTTGTTTTCTATATGAGTCTTTCTTTTCTGCTATATTCACTAATTTTATGTTTTAGATTTCACAGGTGATAGGAAACAGTATTTTTCTCTTATTTCTCTTAGCACAATACCTCCAAGTCCATCCACGTTGTTGCAAATGGCAAATTTTCATTTTTTATGGATGTTTAGTACTCCATTGTGTATACCACACCTTCTTGATCCATTTGTCTGTTAATGGACATTAGGTTGCTTCTTTATCTTGGCCACCGTAAGTAATGCTTCTGTGAACACTGGAGTGCATGTATCTTTTCCAGTTAGTGTCTTTGGTTTAGTGGTGATGACTTCCTTTAGATTTTGCTTGTCAGGGAAACTCTCTCCTTCAATTGTGAACAGTAACCTTGCCAGATAAGAGTATTCGTGGTTGTGTTTTTGCTCTCAGTACTTCGACTATTTTGTGCCACTCCCACATGCCCCGCAAAGTTTCTGCTGAAAAATCAGCTGGTAGTCTTGTGTGGGTGTAACTAGTTCTCTTTCTGTGCTTTTGCGTCTGATGTGCTTTTGCTCCCATCTCGTGTGTTACTCATTTCACTTACTGTGTTTTTCAGCTCTGGTTGGTTCATTTTTATGTTCTATTCCTCTTTGTTGAGGTTCTCCCTGTGGTCACTCTTCTCCCAACTTTGGTGGGCATCGTTATGGGCATTACTTTGAGTACTTTTCCAGGTAGGTTACTTATGTCCACTTTGTTTAGTTCTTTTTCTAAGGTTTTGTCTTGTTCTATCATTCGGAACATAGTCCTCTGCCTCCTCATTTTCCCTAACTCCCTGTGTTTGTTTCTGTGTTTTAGGTAGAGCTGGTCTTGAAAACGTAGCCTTATGCAGGTTTCCTTTGGGACCCAGAAGAGCAATCCCCACTGGTCGCCAGAGCCAGGGCTGTTGTCCTTTTGGGTGCATGGCCCTCCTGTTGGAGTGGCACCACAGCTGCTTTAGGTGCACGAGTGGCTGGGCCTGGCCCCCAAGCTTGCCAGCTCCTTTGTGGGCAGGGCTGGCCCATCACAACAGTTGCAGGCTCAGTTGAGTGAGACTGCCCCCCACCCCCGCCCAGGGTGGAAGCTGCTTTAGGGGGACAGGCGGTGGTAGTGGGGGCCAGACCCAGTTGAGAACTCCTGCTGGGTGTGTCAGGATAGGAGTCGCTTTGGAGGGGTGCCAGCTGGGGCCTGGCAAGCAGTGTTCAGATGTTCAAAATGGCCCATCAGTGCTGGGCCAGCGAGGTGGAGGGAGAATTTCTTAAATGCCTGCCCCTCTGGCACTCACCCTCAAGTTAATGAATCTACTTCACGTGTGGCCTGAGCACTTTTCCGATGGCTGCTCCTGCCCCAGGATGTGAAGTGAGTTTGTGCCCATGCTCTTTAAGAGTGAAGTCTCGGTTTCCTGCAGCCCTTTGGCTCTCCCGGACACAAGCCCTGCTGGTTTTCAACCAGGGGTTCATCTTCCCAGTGCGGATGTGGGGTGTCTGATGTGGAGTTCCCACCCCACCACTCCTTAGGGAGAAGTTCCATTTTTGTGATATCCCCTCCTGCTTGTGGAGAGCCACACTGGGAGTGTGGGCCCTGATTAGACCACATCCCTGGCCCTCCGACCTGTCTCACTGTTTTTCCTTCGTATCCTTAGCTGTAGGAGAGCTGTTCTGCTCGTCTTCAGGTCATTCTCAGAGAGGTGTTCTTTAGGTAGTGGTAGTGTTGGCGTGTCCTTGGGAGCAGGTGAGTACGGCATCTTCCCAACTCCACATCATGATCCCGCCTCGGTCCTCCTCTTCATCTGTACAGATCCTTCCATGCCCAACTCAGTGTCTGCCTCCTTGGTGAGACCTTCTCATTCTGCACCTCAGTCTACCTCGCTGAAGCACACAACAGCACTCTTAGTCTCCATCATACAGCCTGACACGTAATAATACACCATTCTGCTATTGCTCCTGATGTGTTTAACCCCCGGAAGCATCAGCTGCATCTGCACTTTCTTTTCTATTCTTCACAGGGTCTACTGTGGACTCTTCTCATTGTGGGTACCATTATCATACAGCAGTAGCTCAATAACAAAGACATACTCAGTATAGCTTCAAAGTCATTCATTCTAGAGACTTGACCTATCTTTGGTCACTCCATCCATCAATCTGCTATGGTCAAGGCCTATGATCCCATCAGAAAATAGTCTTGATAAAACGTGACCAATCATGCTTTGCTTTTTGAATGTGGATGCTAGCTTTAAAACTGAGCTGCCTACAGATTCCTAACATAAACATCAGATGACGCATTCAACAGTAATGGTTTCTCGGTTAAAGTCTAAGTTGAATAATCTTGCTTTTTAATAGTGCCCCACCATAACCGTCAACCATGCTGACTTTTTAAAAAGGTAAACAAAAGTATTGCAACTTTACAGAAATAATGATTAATATTTATACATGGAGTGATTGGGCCATAAGACCAAGAGTACTTGGTAAGTATAAGAAGCCTCAATAAGTGAACAGGGACTTCACTGTTACCTCATTATCAGCTAGGTTTATAGTTCTGATTTCCGTGTGTTTGTTCACAGATAGTTCATGATGCTGAATCAGACACAGTAACAATTAATGTATTCAACTCTCCATTTCTGTATGATGAGGTGAAAGTGAGGTTTCTCTCTTCGGTGAGTAACCAAGTGGTAACCTATGCTGTTCTTCTTGTCTGGTCTTTTGAATGATTCTGGTTTGGCATTTCCTTTGCTACAGTTCCCAACAAGGGAGATGACAGATGTCAACCCCTAGCCAGGGAGGGGGAGAAAACCAAGTCACATCCGTAACAAAATTTTTAAAAAGAGCAGATGTAATTAAACATCTTTTATGGCTCATCTGGTTTTTTTTTCTCCTAAGTTCTACACAATTTACATGTATTAATTTTCAAATAAGAAAAATACAAAAACCAGAATGTTTTAAAAAAAAAAAGTATGTGTTCCTACATTGCGGTGATCACATTTTTGTTTTGTGTCTTTAAAACACATTGCTCCCCACAATTCAGAAAACACTTTGAGGGAGATTTTTGTTTCCTCTCAATTGATATATAATTCATTTTAAATAGTATATTTAATCCAATATTTTCCTTATGAAAAATAAGAATGTCTGCCATTGTCATCACTCTGAATATCATGAGGGTATAATTTATATTGACCTGTCCTAAAATGTATGCCTGAGTATTATTCTGTATGCAGCACATTTCTAAGCCTCAAATCGTCTCATTTTCCTATTAAGTCATCAGTCAGAACTGCCAACAAGTAACTGTGTTGGTCAATGTAAAGCGTATTTGCTGTGCCCTCCTTCATCCCCTGCTTGCTCCCTGTTGGAGAACTTACTATGTTTGAAGTGGTAAACGTGTTGAAGCCAGTGTAGTTCCATGTTGGACGGGTTGCCCCTTGAATAATGGAGCCAGTTGAACTGCCCTCATCAGTGTTTTTCTAAGCAGAAGCGCTGGTGTAAGGGGCACTAGCCAAGAGGGTGCTGGTAATATCTGGCCTTTGTGATTTTTAAGGGCCATGAGGTAAAAGCACTTTAAGAAATTGTAGGTACTTCTATAATCAGTAATGGTTAACCATCCAGTATAGCTATGGATACTACATTGGGGCATGAATAGGTCCTTACTATCTGTTTAGCGCTATCCAAACCAGATTAAAAGACCAGTGTCTAACTTTATGAATACCTATCATAGAAGAAATACATTTTCTTAAAAAATTTTTGCTAGATAGGGCAAGAGGAAGGAATAGCAATCTCTCAAAGCCTCCTCCTTGATGTCGTGAGTGTAATGTTATAAACTGTAAATGCTGCATTTTCAATAGCTACAGGTATCTGGTGAACATACAAATGAATAAAGAAAGCAATTTTAATCCCTTTGGAATGATTAGTTCTTGGTATCAATTTTACTGTGAAAAATAACCTTTTTTTTTAAACCATGTCTTTTTTAGGCTCTTCCTCGATACTATGACAATTGTCCATTTTACTTTTGGTTCCATACATCTTTCATACAAGATAACAGGTACGACTATGATCTAATCCAGTAGAAACAGCCTAATCCTCCATGTCTTTATAACGCATAATGGAAAGCCTTTTACAGACTGCCATAAACTCAATTTATAGAAACAAAAAAAAAAATCCTCAAGATACCAATCTTCACTGCCTTGCTTATCGCGATCTGGTTTTTAAAATATGGTTATTCTTGAGACCCACTGTTGCATTATCCTCAAGGCCCATGCCAAGGGGCTGTGCTATACATTAAAACACACTATAATCAGATCTTGAGTGTGGTAATAAATCCCTCCCATGGAAGTTTAATATGAGTCTGCTCAGTACCTTGAATACGGCAGGTCCTCAGTGTGTGCTGATGTACTGGTAACTGACTAACATCAAATTCTATCTCAAAGTAAGGCATCGTTCAGGGAGGCTTCAGTCTAGAAGCTGACTGACACATTTATATCTAGGGCAGAAGTTGTAAGACACAGTAAGTATCAATGAAGACAGCTTTGAAAATCATTAATAGTCTCTCATTTAAAATGATTCTAAAAACTGAGTAATTTTTTTAAAGTAATTATTTGAAAATTTTCCCAAAGAACTTCTACCATATCTGGAAACTCACTCCTAAATCTACAAGTTCCCCACTTTGAGTATTTGTTCTGTGGTGCTGAAAAGTTGAGATGATTTTTTAGCACCATACCATCCAATACAAAAGGAAAAATATTCCAAAAATCATACAGGTGAGTTTTTGAAGTGGCTGTGATTGTATGTGGCGTATATATAATAGTTCTTATGACATACAATACTAGCCTTTTCTTAAAGTGTGAACTTCACCTAATTCCACCTCAAGTCCAGAAAGGCAACAGTGAAAGAACAGCTGGCCCACACACCTATAATGCACACACTGTTAGTGGATTTTGACAGAGTGAACTTTGAATTTGAAGGAACGTTTTTACCAATTTTTCTCCCTAAATGTATACAAACTTTGACTCAGTCCGAGCAAAGTCCCTCAAATAGATGATGGGGTGAAACTTCATTTGGTGCTACACCTTCCTCAAAACTGGTCCTTGCTAAAGGACAGCTTTTTTTTTTTTCCTTTTAAAACACTGTTCATATATTGGAGGGGCAACAAACTAGATCACATTTCTCATTTTTATGGTTTATAAAGATTTAGCTTTTATAAATTTACCATACTACTTGGCAAAGTTGTTTCTGTTAGTTATGGAGACTGTTAATTTGCCCCAAATGCCAACTTCATCATTTAAAAGGCACTCATTTTGTTACTGGGTTTTAATATACATCTAGTCTGCTGTCACATATAGAAATTAAACCCAGATGTTAATTCCTTAAAAGGCAATATTAAAAGAATCAGCAGCACACTGTCACTGAAGGTTATGACATTCCATGTCTTAATAGAGAAAGTGGGAGAGCTGGCTCTTAGAAAGCTAACCGGACACCAAGAAGGGGCTGAGACTAAAGGTGACCAGCAAGGCTATTTTTTTTTTTTTAATTCTAACAAGGGTATCCAGCAGGGCTTTCCTGTTAGCCCTAAAATGTAATTTTTTTTTCTATTCTAGGTTATATCTTTCAAGAAATGAACTGGATAATCCTCATAAGCCAAAAACATGGAAAATTTATGATTCAGATTTTGCAGTCGAGGTGTGTTTTGATGAAATTAAGTTGTAGTTATAACCAGCAGTATCTGATTAAGTGTAGTCCCCACTTCTAGGATAGAATCGTAGTCTTCCCAATCCTTTCTACATATTTATAGCTTTTAAACCTGTTTCCTTACTGATATATTTATGTAATGTACATGTTCTTGATACATCTATTAAATATATATACAAAGAATGTCAGCGGCGGTATCTTTTTTGAAGGAACATATACATTGTTATACAGAGTTTTCATCTGTATGGAGATAAATTTGAAACAGTACACAGAACCATCAGTTACCACTTTTAAGAACTCAAAATGTTCATATAAAAATTGAGATATTTAAAAAATTAATTTCCCCCAATACTTTGGGTTTACTTCATTTGCTTATATTTTTTGGACAAGTATGTATCCCCTGCTTTGTTTCACATTTATAATTTCAGATATTAGACCGGCAATTTCTAACTCCTTCCTCTACTTGACTTCCAAACTGTTAAGCATCAGAACGGCAGCAAAGACTGTTTTAAAACCCGGAGGAATGTTCACACCAGCAGCCTCCCACCCTCAACACACGCTTTTCTCTTGCTCGCCAAGCACTACACAAAGCTTAGCAAGCTTCCTTTAATTACACACACAACTTCGGGGAGGTCAGAGAATGTTGGTAAACATGAAGGATAAAGACTCTTCCGGACCTTCTGCTTTTGTGTAACATCACAAGTGAAATCAAAGGAATTATTTCCACAGAGGAATCTAGCTTTTAAACCCCACCACCCCTGCTCCAAACCAGCTTCACCTAAGCTTGGGAAACTCTGCAATAAGGTCACCCTTTCACATAGACACTGGTTAGTCCTGTGCCCACAGGGAATCATTTTCTCTTTGGTTCCAGGTGCCATTTTATTCTAAGTGCCTTTGCTGCCACTGTATCTTAAGGCCATAATTGGCCTTGAAAATAGTTCTATGTTGCCTTTCTTAGAATTATCCTTGTCTGAGTGATTTTCCTGTCATTGGCAAGGCTCGCAACAATCAAGCCCATGAAAGGTAGCAACCAGTGAGAACCGGTGCCTCTGCTGAAACACAGGATACTCATTCCTGAGAAACCTTGCATTTTGCAAAAAGCACATGTTAACAAAATGGTTTTGTGGGGAAACAGTTTGGGGCAGGACACTCCCACTAAACGTCGTAACAACACACTAACAAAACACTTGCTGCTCAGGTTGGCAGCGCCAGAAGGTCTGGAGGAGGCATTTTTTTAAGGGGAACTAGAGTGATACTTTACAGAGAAGGGCTGGCAGGTGCCAACCTGGCAGAGACGGGTAGAGAGCTCCCAGCTGCCACCGTGCTGGCATGCAAAGCCAGGTAGGTATTTTTCTCTCCTGCAAAAGCTGACAGATGGTCCCAGCTGCCAGTGCAGCAGCCCAGCTGAAGGCATTTTGCTTTTCTCACAGAAGTTATCATTCTACTCCCCATAACATGATTCCCCTTGGAGGAAAAGATCGTGGAGGAGCATGCTTTCAAAAGTTACAGAAACGTGTTCCTTTAAAATTCATGCAGCAATAATCCGTGGAGGGCAGATCAACTGGCCGGCTTAGGTGAATGGGGGAAAAAAAAAACTTCACTGGCTTGGTGAGGAGTAAGATCTTAATACTGGCAAAAATTGGGGAACCCCAACTTTTAAGAATCTTGTTTTAAATAAAGATGACAACTGGGATTTCTCTTCCCTGGCCCTCCAAGATGCATCGAAATTTCTGGCAATTATGAGTCGTCACACCTTTCTGCTTTTGCTCATAAAGAGAACTTACTCAGGGCCTCCTATGTGGTTGCTTTCCTGGAGCCCAATGTGAATAATTCATTGAACAACTTAAGAAACTTACACTGTAATCTATCAAAACGATACTGGTTTTCTTGAATAGAATTTACTAACACCTGGAATAGAACTATCCAAAACTTGGTACCAAGAAGTTTATTTTAAAAAATAGAGTGGCATCCTGGCAAATCAGTCACATCACATCCACAGCCTGGTGGAGGGAGAGAGTAATTCTAGCCGGCCAATTTTTGTAACTGCCGTGTATTCTTACCAATTTAATAGCTATTTTACATCGGGAATCTTGCTGACAAAAAATGCTTGTTGCAAAAAACCCGCCACCTCAAAATATTACCTTGCATGACTCTTAAACGTTCCTGGACAATTGGTTCTTAGCACGTATGCAAAGTACCTAAACAAAACAAATCATATAATAGTCAAATATTTGGCAAATAATTTAGTGACAGAACACAAGAATTTCTTTGAACATAATATTTCAAGTTACTGTTTTTGTCTGGAGTACAAATCTGAAGTGGTACAAACTGTACCCAAATATTGAATCATTAAGCAAATAGAAGGAAAAAAACCCCAAAACCTCCGACTTCAGTTTCCATTCCTTACTCCCACTCATTTGTACTTGCCTCAGACTGTTTCTGCTGAAGATTTTTGGTTAAATCTTTACAGGACAACACGTGAGAAAATCTAATGCCAAAAGGGCCCACATGACAGGGGCCCCTGGCCTCTGAAGCAGGTTATCTCCTGCCGGAAGCCAGTCCCATATTTGCTTCAATCTAGAGCTGTTCAGATGAAGCACCGCTTAGCAGCTACTGACCATTTAAGTATGGAGAAAAGTAAGGTAGAATGATGGCTTTCTTTTCGAGGAAAGGCAGCGGGAAGACCAGGCACGGCTCTGAAGCACACGGGGCACAGCCCCGGCACGCCCCCGACCCCCAACAATGTCTGCAGCACCCTGCCCGCCAGCATCTTGCCCTCCTGACCCTCCTGCTCCTGCCATGTGGCGGAGTCACCAGCAGATTCACGGGGAAAGGGAAGCTTGCAGAAACCAGAGATTTCACGCAAGGCCTCCATCCTGCCGATAGGGACAGATGCACTGGGGTGGACTAGTCACAGGCCAGCCCGCTTGCTTCGGCCATGCAGGCTGCCTGAGAACACTTTATCAGAGAGTCCTCGGTGGTCTCGGAGCAGCAGAGCAAGGACGTTTGCTTTAGTGCTGACCAGGGCCCTCCTACACCAGACGGCCGAACGACTGCCCATCCCAAGTCTGCAGGGATCAGAGGAATGGGGCCTATGGTTGCTAGCGCATTCAAACGGCAGAGCTGAAGACAGTTACTTCTCTTTCATCACTTTAAACAGTCACACCCCATGGACCACGACACTGAGATTCACTGATGGCCAGTCCCCAACGTCAAAGGCTCTAACAGTGTAAGAGCCTGGCGAGGAGGGGTCAGGGGGCCTGGGACAAACTTCAGCCTGGGTCAGCCCTGACACCACTCACGTGGAGTGCAAGCACTACACTCCGTCTGGTTCCGACCGAGAGGAGAGGACTTTGCCCCCGAGCACTGTCACTCTGCCCCCAGACAGGCAGGGAGCCTGGGCCTCTCCTGGCTTTGGCACTCTGCTCCCTGGAAATTCTATTTCTGATTGGTGGAGCCAAGGAGGGCATGGTCCCAAGTGGCTCAACAGCCCAGAGGTGGTCCAGCGGATTACTCTGGAATCCCACCCAGGCCAAGACCCAGAGACAGTAGCTCGAGGTGGCTGTCAGCCACAGGGTCTTCACAAAGCACAGCACCACCGGCCCCTCCCCTCAGCCCCTTCAAGCTCCAGCCCAGCAGAGGGAGCTCCCTGGGAGAGGAGGAGAAGCTGGCCAGTGAGGGCCACGCTGCTTCCCAGAGGCCTGCAGCTCTAGGCCACACCCAGTAATAGTCTGAGTGTGGGATGTGACCCCACCTAGACAATGAATAGCATGGTTTTCATAGGAGAGCATCTTGGGAAAACCCAGGATGCTTACCTGAAACTTAAGATTGCGGAAGCCACACCAGGATGCAGGTATATTCTTCTCTGTAAAATCTAGATGGCTGTCTTAAGTTTTCAAGCACCACAGGAAAACTTCTTTAAAACTTCAACCACTTAATATAGTGTCCACACGAGGCAGATTTTAAAAGAGATCCTACATCTAGACTGGACTAAGCAACCATTTATAACCATCCTTATGAAACACGGTTACCTCTGGGCTTTTCTGGTGAGATCTGAGATGAAACACAGAACCAAACTGGGCATCACTCACAACATACAACCATCCAAACTGCATGTATACGTACAGGTTTTTGCAAAAGCCCTGATACAACTATAGTTAGCCTTTCAGGTTAGGTACCTAGGGCCAGCGGCCCACCCTATATGTCCCACCGAGGACAAGAGCAGCAGTTTTTCTATTTCAATACAATGATGGGCAGAAATTACATGATGTAAAATACTCTCCTATAAAGGTTAAGATTTAAGGTATAAGAATGGAAGACAAAAAAAAGTTCCTGTGAAATCAAAGCAATTTCACGTTGGTCTTGTACTCCAGGAAACCCTGAGATGGACTACGGTCCTCAGCACTTGTCCTTGGCTCCACGTTTTCCACAGCACCTCAGTAGGCTTCGAACTGGCTCATCATCAACTTCCTGCTGTATTCATAGGCCAAAAATAGTGCCCCGTTGGCAGGGAACGCGCGAATCATGGTAGGTTTCAGTCCAGAATATAAGGCCGTTATTCCTAGAAAACAAAAGGGTGATCAAAGACTGAGATTCCCCCTCCTTGGAAATTTCCCATGAACCCACACAGCACAGATATTTTTACATTAACAAATCCAAACAATAGTGCTAAAAACCAACAGTGATGGAACAGGTTTCCCCGGGCTAACGGAAATGAATAGACTAGTGGAAGCCAGGACAAATGTCAGGTCTCCCAGCAAAGCTGGCGAGGCTCAGGTAACACACACCAGTGCTGTTGCCAGGTGAACTCCTGGGAGATGGAGCAGGCAGAGGGGAGCCTCACATGGGCAGACAGAAGGCAACCACAGAGCCACAGGGGGCAGCAGCTCTGCAGCTTCCCCTGAGGGGGAGGACTATGAGGCAGGCCAGCAGGAAGGGCACTGAAGTCAGAGGCCTGTTTCTAGTATTCACACTGCCCAAGGTGATTCTGAAGATCCAATCGGATAAAGGAGGGCAAGCATTTTGTGAAACGAAAGTGTTACGCAAATTTAGAAGGCATTACTATTAATAATATACAAGATACCTGTGCTGTACTTGGGACTAAATCAGTTTCTGCATCCTGCTACTGTGCTCGCTCAAAATCAAGGCCGACAAGTGCACAGCCCAAGTTTTAAGATGTCTAGTGGATGCTGGGCAGACAGATCTTTACTCACTAGTGGCATAAAGTTGGCTTTATTCAGCAGTTGCTTAGTGCGTTTCTAATTCCAGAAGTCTTAGCATTAAGGATGGACGTTTTTTAAATTTCTTTGTCATTCCGTTAGAGATCCTGTCCTGACGCTATTATGTAAAACAAATGGTACTAACTTCAAAACATCTGTCCTCTTAGACAAAGTTTGTATTCTAAAAATTTCCTCCAGGCCATTTAGAAAAAAGAATCCTGGCCCCAACCCCCGGGGGTTGGGAATCAGAATTTTAAACATTCATGAGAATAATGAAAGTAAGTTACAGAAAGGGGTTTCGAAATGAATCCACAAGTGTGGGATTATAGACAGTGCTAGAAAAAGGACACGAGGCAGGGGGAAGAGAGCCGTCACCCATCTGATCAGCCCCGAGAAGACGGCAGCGAGGTGACCTCCCCTGGTTCTGCAGCAGACACTCACCTTCATTCTTCACAACACTTATGAAGGTTCCAAAAAATCCTGCCTGTTTTCCAGACATGGAAAGAACTTGGATTCTGGATTTGATACAATCCACCGGGTAAACAGCAAGCCACAGGCAGATTCCACCAAATCCACCGCTTAGCATCAAAGGGACAGGGCCTAGAGGAGGAAATTAGCAAATGGTATTTTCTCTCGAGAACAGCTGATGTGACATTTCCAGAGGGCAATGCAATAGTGGCTGCAGGTAGGGGCAAATACCAAAGCTGTAGCTCGGGAGCACAATTCTTGGAGGCAACTGTCAAACCGTCTGAGAGCACAGGTTCTGTGTGGTAGTCTGGGGCCATCCCTCAGCACACCAGACAAGGGGCACCCTAGTGAGGGCGGGTTTAGGCTGGTCTCTGTGGCCCTCCTGCCCCGTCCTCTGGAGGCCTGGCCCACCCAGAACCAGCAGGCCCCCCGCACATGGCAATGCCCTACCGTGAGGAATGAGAGCAGAGGCCACTAAAACACAGGCTGCATCTTTTTCCAACCTCCTCACTCTTAAGAATTTTAATATTTTAATGCCCCACAGCCTTGATTCTTCCTTTACCACGAAAAAACAAAGCTGTCTTACTAAACACAACAGTTAAGCCTGGGAGCTTGACTAATCCCAGAATAAGTTCAAAACACTGAAGGGAGGTGTAATCACTCATGTGAGCCCAACATGGATAAGGCTGTGTCAAGCAGCTAATTAGGATAAACTAGAAAGAACTACACTTCTCATTGCTCTCAAAACACTATCCAGATTACCAAATGTTTTAAGCTTATTGAAAGATGATTTATAGGTGATTTCCCCGTTTGCTGGTGATTTCCCATAGGCGAATAATGTCTGTATTCTCCCCTAAAATGGATCCAGAGCAAATGAACAAATGGTATTCTCGTAAAAAGTGTGGGATGTCCTGCTCCAGCCTGTCTAGAGGCAATCACGAGGCCGGAGGAAGGTGCTGGTTACCACCTGCTGCCACGATCCTTTCCAGCTTCCAGAAGCTCCCCGGTGCCCGGCGGACCTCCCCCCCAACACGGGGCGCCGCGCATGCAGAATCCACAGCGGCCACACCCCTGGGAAGCGGACACCATCCAACCCAACTGCGCGGTCCCCGCGAACACGGTTACCTAATTCATCTTTTGATCTCCCTGATGCAAAAAACGATCGGCTCAGTTCATAGCCACCGAAGAAGAAGAAGTAGCCGGGCACTTCTCTGAGCAAAGTGCTCGACAGCCCGTGGTAGAAGCCCAAGGGGCCATCCTTCCTCAGGATGCTCTTCACGACGGACCAGACTGTGCTGGGAGGAGACACGGGGTGAGGGGGGCGGTCAGCGCAGGCGGGGAGGGCGGACCACAGCATCGCACCCGATCAGCGGACCTGATGAAGCTCTAACCGCAAGCGGCTGATGTTATAAACAGAGGAACCAAAATTCCGGGAATAAAAGGCTTCCTTCTGTGGGAAGGAAGTCTCTCAGAGAAACAGATACAGTTATTTTGTAACAAGTTTTATCACCTGAACTCTCCTAGGATGAAGAGATTTTATTAAAACGGATGCATATATTTCTAGAAATCATTATCAAAGAGCCAATACCCATTTTTCCAACAGTGACTAAGTGAAATTACAATGATAGTGAGGGTTGTCCAAACTCAGCATGAACAAAATGGTGTTGTTTGTGCCCAAGCCCTTCCCTCCCTTGATTCCTATCTTCTCAGCCTTTTCCTTTGATCTGGTGTGTTTTAGGCAATTGGTTCCAGTGTTTAGGGTTTGTTTTGTTTTCCGTTAGCCTGGGGAAATGAGCAAATAACCTTAAGTGTTACTTAAAGGCAAGACACAAGAAATTCTAAGAGCTGAGCTACAGCTCCTGTAAGGCCGGACGCACCAAGAATTTAGTTCTCAGAGAGGTTGGTGTGTAATGATTTTTACTCGAGACGGATCAGAGCCTGCGGTAGCTGGAACACAACACCTTCCGTGCAGGGGCTCCTCCTGACTGTGTGCGGGTGGCAGGCACTTCCCTCCAACCCAGCAACAGTGCTGGAAACCACACGCAGGAGCTCAGTGAGCCCCGAGAGCCTCACTTTATTCCCAGCAGGTGACCTGGCTTGGACTAGGAAGGATCAAGGCAACCTGCTTCTAAGGTTCTTCTAACCCTCCCTCCCAGGCAGTACCCATTAGCCAGGCCCTGCCTGCGGGACCCTCTCCTTCTATAGAACCAAGTCATCCAACTCAAGACAATTAGCCTGCTTCCAATCCAAGTCTTAACCCCAAGCTTCCATAGCCCTGTGTGGGCACTGCTCTACCTGAGATGCAGTCCAACTCCATATTAACTTTTCTACAGAGTGTTCATCTACCTAAATCCTTTGGATCTAACAATCACTTTCTTTAAAAATACTTTAAACTACTTCCAAGGGCTACAAGGACAACTTTCCGGGGGCTGTTAAGGTTCTATTTCTTTACCTGGGCACTGGTTTACAAAGTCATGTTCATTTTGTGACTGTTTACATAACTGCACACTTAAGACTTCTTATGATTTCTGTGTGCACTCCTGTAATTGTGCGGACACTGTATTTCAATAAAAAGCTTTAAAGACACTTTTGGACTTCCAGGCTCTGAATAATACATTCAAACTGGTTGTAATGAATCTCACAGGTGCACGAAATAGGGCGCTATGACAAACCCCATCCTCACTGGAAGGAAACTGGTGACTCTGAAAAAGGTCAACTTATCTACTGTTTTTTTTTCCCCAGCAGGTTTACTGGCTTTGAGTTAAACTCAGCCATACCCCTGACCAAACTTTTTGTCAGTTAAGATTAAAAAAAGCAAGTTTTCAGATTAACAAGGATAATAAATTGCTTTTCAGTTCTAATAAATCACAATAAATCATATTGTACGTACATACATTCACAGGGTAATGAGAATCTGTTTTTCAAGACAAAGTTGGAGAGAGAATTACTGAAGGCTTGCTATGCTTACGAGGGTTTTGATGAATGTTTTCAGAGTGTGAGCCCCTTGTAGGTACACTTGCAGGATTAGGGAGGAGGCGGAAGGAAGTTATCACCAGATCTGGGGGGATGAGCCTGAGCGCCCATGTGACACTGCGGAGCCAGCAAACACTCATCTCAGAATCCAAACCGGGACTTAGGAAATCTCAGCCCTCAGTTCCAAAGGGGCTGCTCTCTGCCTCCTGGTACAGCTAGGGGGTCACACCTTAGGCTCTCCACAGGCCAAAAGGGGTATAAGCTCCTGCTTTGCCACTTCTGGGACATTAAATATTTATCTGTGACATTCTGTGGGGTGAGTCCAGCCATCACAGACAGTCCGTTCAGAAAATTATCCTCTGACTAGTAGGAGAAAAGTATTTGGAGTACATAAACCATTTCTCTGCCTCTAGCTTTAGGACAACGTAAAGTTTAAAAATACTCGCTACACCAAGGCAACAGGGACCCACGGTTTGTGCCCGAGCAGTGCTTACTTCTGGCTCTTGGCTATCCTTCCCGACGTCTCCATCTCGTACATGGTCTGTAGGCGGCACTTCACGAGCTCCGTGGGGCAGAGGACCAGAGCAGCAAACGCAGAGGCGAAGGAGCCGGCGGCTGCGTTCTGCAGGTCACTGAAGGGACACAGCACAGGGGACAGTCACCTGCCCGGTCACTCACTCACCCGGTACTCAGCACACGGAGACACTGATGGTAGAGGAGGGCGGAGGGAGGGGGAGGACACTTTTTCCACATCCAGCAGGCACCTGCTGCTTCCTCTGAGGACTCTACAACCCTGAGGTTGACAGCAATACCCTGATTTCCATATGGGGAAAATGACTCTTAGAGAGGATACGTACTGTGCCCAGGGTCACACGGCTGCAAAGTGGCAACACTAGGATTCAAATCCAGGTCTGTGTGTCTGCCAAACCCACGCTCCTTTCACTAGTCACAGGGCCGGGGGCTGCATGTTTGTGTCCCCCACCCCAAATGTCTATGTTGAAGCCATAAGCCCCAGTGTGATGGCATTTGGAGTTGGAGGAAGGCCTTTGGGAGGTAACTAGCTTTAGCTGAGGTCGTGAGGACAGAGTCCTCATGATGGATTAGTGTCCTTATAAGAAGGGACCAGAGGGCTAGCTGGAGCGCTCTCCACCACATGGGAACACAGCAAGGCGTTCCTCGGCAGACCACAGAGAGAGCCCTTACCAGATACCGAATCAGCCAGCACCTCGTTCTTGGACTTTGCAGCCTCCAGAACTGTGAGAAACAAATGTTTGTTGTTGGAACCACCCAGTCCCTGCTATTTGGTTCTAGCAGCCGGAACTAAGATACACAGTGACAGGGAAAAACCAAACCAAATATGAAAGGATGAAAAACTTACCCATGGTCCTGCCACCTGAAAACACACAGTTAATGCTTCAGTGTGTTTGCCACTAAACTTTAAATAAACTAGGTTCTGAGGCCAACCCTCTGTGCCCCAAATCCAGCCTGGAGCAACCACAAGTTTAATGTAACTGCCACAGATGAAAACCTAGGATAAGATTTTAACCCAAAAGTTGCTTATCAATAAAAGACTTCCCAGGTCAGCTGATGACCTCCTGGACCTCAACCCAGGAAGGTACGAGACGGGTGCAGTGGTGCCACAGAAGAGGGGCGGCCAGTCTGCAGGCTCAATGGTTGTAGGTCAAATGGTGAAGCAGGAAATCTAAACGGAGTAATGATGCCCATAAATACAAAACTAGAAGAATTCATCTCATCTCATGTGGGTTTAGTACCACCGGCCTCAGTCAGGCTGAAGGCTGTGAAGCTGGAACCCAGTAAGAGTGCAAGAATATGGGGGAACGGCTGAGAAACAAATTCCCAGGAAGACTTCTGAGAGTTCATGGGGGTCAGAAAAGGACACCCCTTCCAAACCCGGGGACAGTGTTTCATCACACAAGCATCACTGGCACTTGGTGTGGACAGTCTTTGGCTGGGCAGGAAGGACGGAGCTGCTCGCAGCAGGACAACTGGCCCCGACACTCTCTTGCTAAATGCCAGCATCCCCGCTGTCCCTGGAGACCAGGACAATTCTCAGACCTTCAGAAGCCCCTGGGGGTAACCCCTCGCCGCCTCCCCAGGTAGAGAGGTCCCCTCACAATCTGCAAGCAGAAGCCTAACAGACCTACCACTTTCAACTGTCTTCATGTTCCAACTGACTAATAGTTACAGAAACTAACGGGAAACGTTACTACAGGCAAACCTCATTTTATTGCACTTTGCTTTATCACAGTTTGCAGATCCTGCGTTTTCTTAAAAAATTGAAGGTTTGTGGTAACCCAGAATTGTCAGATGATGGTAAGCATTTTTTAGCAATGAAGTATTTTTACATTAAGGCATGCACATTGCTTTTTAAGAAATAATGCTACTGCACACTAACAGACTATAATCTAGTGTAAACATAACCTTGTATGCACGGGGAAGCCAAAAGTTCACGTTTACTGAGGTGGCCTGGAACCTGACCCGCAATGTCTCCAAGGTGTGCCTGCTAAAACCAATAGCTGCCTCCCATCTTGGCCCTGATTTCCTTCTCCTGGGGCCTGGCCTCAGTGCCACATTTGGACATGAGGCAGGTTCCTAGGGCCAGACAGCCTGTTACATACCCAGGTCTCAGAATAGCTGGCTTGGAGCAGGCTTTCTTTCAGGAGGAAGACACTGCTTGCAGTATGGACTTCCTTTTGACCTTAGAGATTGCATGTCAGATGTTCCCAGTGGGGAGCCAGAATCTGGCACACAGCTTTCTAGGTGTGGGAACCTCCCCACGCCATCCCCTCCCATCCTTCCCACGTCCCTGACTGAGCTCATTTGTCAAAACCAAAGCTTAAATGGTTTCCGCTGTCTCTCCACCAGCCTGCAGGGCCATACTTGGCCTCCCTCAGGGACTCTCTGTCAACCTGCTGACAGGCCACAATTAGGGTCATTGACTGGCGTCTGCCAAGTCTGCAGGAACAAAGGTGGCATCAATAAATGCAGACGTCTATTCAGTCCGAGATGCAGCAACGCCTGAACAATCCCCAAGCAGTTACAGGGCAGCCGCAAGGCCGGATCAGCTCTGCGGTGGACTTTGGCTTTCTAATAAATACTTTCCTTGGCCAGTCGGCAATAGCTGTTGGGGATTTTGTAAGAATCAACTGTTTTGTCACCCACTCAACAAACACGTATCTGAACACTCCTGCTGTGTCAGACCCCGTCCAACCAAAGGTGGAAAGAACGCTGCTTGGGTAGTGCTCAAACCGGGAACAAATATTGACAGTATCTCTGCGGAAAGTCACAACAGGTGCTCACGAGCAGTTCTTTCCTTTTGCTGCTTCTGCATAATTATTAATCTTTTCTCTAGACCTGACCCCTACGAAGCACTCTGGAGCCCCACCTGTGGTGTGCTGGAAAGAATGCTGGATGGGGGTTCTGAAGACATAAGCCAGAATCCTGCTTCCATCACTTATTAACCCAGGGGTCCTCAGGACGTCAGTGCCTGCACTAAGGCTTCCCCATCTCTAAAACAGGTGCCACTGCCTGCCCGGACCCTCTCACAGGACCGTGGTGAGGGATAAAACAAATAAATAGAAAAGACAAGAGTGCTGGGTTGGGCTGAGGGAAAGAAGGTATCTTCACAGCAGGACCTGTGGTTGCCCACTCCCCACCCTCTCCCCCGAGCTGTCCTTTTCTCAGGATTCCACAGGAGACCTAAACTCCAGGTCTCCCCAGCTAGCGTCTCCCCCTCGAGTGGGAAGAGCTAGTCACAGCAGTGCTCTTCCTGCCCGTCTCCACCGTGCGACGCCACATCCTGCTGGTTTGTTTTCCCCGTGTTTCTGTACATCCTCTTCTTCCCGACCCCTCCCTGCTGGAAGGTCCCAGGATCCTGTAAATACTGTCTCCCTGAGTGATTTCATCCAATCCCAAGCCTTTAGAACACAAGTTCCATCCATCAGGATAGGATTCTTGCTATAAACAGGAGCACCTCCAGGAACCCCCAGAGAACACTTCTGTACAAAGGGAACCTACTTTAGTCACAAGGAACCTGTAGTTGGAAAAGCTTCAAATTCCTACCAAAACCACCAATAAGACAGCCCTTTGCAACCATGCAGCTAATAATTTTAAATGACTTAAATCAGTGTTCAAAGGGGGGAAGGCTAAACACCCTAGTGGTTTCCAAATTCCTTTATGTATATATATCTATATCTGTATAATAAATACCCAAGAGATGGCCAAGTACAAGCCAAAGTCTGATGTCTGGGGCAGACTTGGCCAAGGGAACAGTCAATTCACCTGCATCTTCTCAGAAACTCTGATCTTTTCTAAAATTCCAAGTTTCTCCTCAAATCGATTTCACTTTTTAAATACTCTGCATTTTGCTGATGACGTGGAACCCAAAATTCAGGTCACAAATTGCATCCACGGTTTAAGTCCAGCACTTCTGCCCACAGAGAAGTGGCATCACCAGCAGCATTTGAAAAGCACCTTCCTGAAGAAGGGAAGGAACGCGAGGGTGGCTGGTTCTCTGCGGTGGAATATGGGCAGCTCTCCTTTTGCATAATTCATATGTGTTTTCCCAGTTTTATATGATGGGATGTATGACTTCATAATCAGAGAGTAGTTTTTTAAAAAAGGAAATGTTCTTACCCCGAAGGTCTCATAAAAGTTTTGACTATGCAAATACTATTTTTTAAACAAACTGAAAAAGTGTCAGTGACCTCCACTCACCTCAGCTTTGCCTGCCTGTCCAGTCCAACCACCTTCCGTACCACCTGCTGGCAGAAGCCATAGCACATGAAGAGCACGGAGTTCTCGGCGATGTTGGCGATCAGCGCGGGGCTGGTCCCCTTGTAGAAGCCCCGGAAGCCCACCTGGGAGTAGGTCTTCAGGCAGCAGTCGGTGAGGCCCCTGTACAGGTTGGGGAACGTCTGCATCTTCACCTTCATTGTGTCGAAGGGCTGCCCAGTCAGCACACATGCTGTGCCTCCTGCAACCAGGACAGAGTCTGTCCAGCACTAGTCTACAGCTGTGTGTCAGGGTGTGACCTCGAGGGCCCACAGAGACGAGGGACAGGCGGCCCACCCTCGGGCTTGGCTCTGCATCACCTCATTTTGACCTCTTCCTCCCTGAAACCTTCTAGCCAGTCCAATAAAACTTCGAGGGGGTCCCTCCTGTGCCTGGCACCCAGCTCCAGCCCTAAAAGACCTCACACTGCATAGGAAAGAGAGACATGTGTTCAACAGTCAAAGCATAGGATGCAAAGGTGTGACATGTGTCTAGGAGCATTGGGCAGAGGGAACTGGGCTCAAAGCCTGACTCTGCTGTGAGATCTTGGACAAGCAATGCAACTTCTGAGCTTCATCCCCTATCCAATTAGCATAAGGATTAAATAAAAATGGAAGAGAAGGTTTAACATAATCGCTACTACACAAGTGGCTAATGATTAGCAGGTAACTTCCACATAAAAGGAAGGGGAGAAGAGTCCATCACTCTGCTTTGCCTGATGCCCAGTGGTACTGATGACTATCAGAAAAATAACAGAGGAATAGGACACAGATAAAGGAAACAAAGAGTCTGACTAGTCCCTGAAGAGCTCAACGCCTGACCCCTTATTTGGAATTTACCAATTAATGATTCGTAATCAGACAGGAAATGGATCGGGACTTACCTTTGCTTAGCATAAACCATTTCTATGCTTTCATACTGTAAGGGTATTAAATACAGCAAAATCTAAATTGCATCCGATTACTTCAATAAAAGTTCTGAACGTAAGGAAAAGAATGAACTATAAACACTGTAATATCTCCAGACCCTGGATGGGGTCAGCATTCGGGGAAGTCCCACTGGCTAATGCTTCTGCCTCCCCTTGGGCCTGAGACATGCCCTGCTGTGTCAGGAAATGTAACCATAGGGTGGGGTTATTAAAGCCTCAACAGAATTGAAGAGAAGGCTTACATAAAATAATAAAGAAATGCGATTTCATAACTTCGACATAATACATAGTTACTCCCACTAAGTTATGGACAGTGGAGATGGAGGGAGGGCTGTTAAGAATAACTTCCAAGTAATTATTGGCAGGTAGATAGCTTCAAAAAGTCTGAAAACAATTTGCTCTCTTCTTTGAAGCAAGCACAAATATGATTTCTGCGATCCTATCACCACTGATCCTTTCTTCTAGGGGAGCAAGGGCACATTTCCGCCGCATTTCTGCCTTATCTTGCCTCACTGTCCCCAGCCCTGAGTTGGTGGAGCACAATTTAATGAGATGTTACTATAATTAGTTATTCTCTCCCAGGTACTGATGGGCTAGAATCAAATAAGATCCTACTTACAGCAAAAACAATTATCCCCAAAGAGGTGAATGTCAGAATTTTTAAAGTGGGTTCATAATTTTGAAAACCTAGATGCAGCTAAATGGAACAATCCATTTAATTCAGAGCATTAATATTTTTACTAGAGGTTGCCCACATTTTAACCCAATCATCCTGAACAGTGCAGACATCTGGGTTCCTACAAAACGCATTTGTTGCCTATCTGCACCAGTTACATCTCCAGCAGGGAGAAGGTAGGAGGCTCATGAATTTTCAAATGCTAGCTCCAATTCCCACCCTCCATCCATGGAGGAAAGCTAACTTCCTATGTAATGTCCCATACACAAATGGCACAGTCATGGCATTCACTGTGCCCGCCTCAAGGGGGTGATGACTATTCTGAATGTCAGCACCAACTCCTGAGACCCAGCAGGTCCTCATACCTACCAAGTCAGTGAAGCTGTGAGTAATTTATAGGGGTTAACTCTTTCGCCACTTGCTGAGAGCTCAGACCCTAAGACCATCTCAGTCTCCTTAACAAGTGGAGATGGCCTCTGCACTCCCGTGCGGGTGTCACCGTTGCACTTTACTCTGCGGGAGATGCAGAAGTGTCTTGCATCCTACACTCCACCGAGGTTGGGGTTCTGGATGTTCAGTCTGACACAGTGGAGCCAGCAAATGACGAAGTGTTGAGGAAATTCACCAGGGCTGGGACAGTGATGGCGGTGAGGGAGGGCAGAGGTGGACACGGAGAAGCAGACCTTCACCCAGAGGGACCTGGTCCACCCTGCCCACTCAAGCAGAGGGGAAAGTCTCAAAGCTCTGGAGGCAATGTTCCACTGAATGGCAGAGAGGCTGTCATTTTCAAAATAATTCTAATCAAAAAAGCTTTTGGTTTGTTGTTAATTTGGCATTTGAGATGATCAATGATCTGAAATGCCACATTTCCTGACACTACTTAAACAAGGCACGTTTGCGAGACAGCAGTTCATGCAGAGAATGCGTCATTTTATAGTTGTTCAACTACCAAATCTTAAAGTGCCACCAACGTTTACATTTAAGGGGATTTAACTCTTGAGTTCCAAGTTGCCTTATTTCAATAATTTATCCAGTTACCTAACTATCTTCTTCAAATCCTCCCCAACCCAGTTCCTGGGGCTCTGGATCTTTTCCTGGAATCTCTCCTACAGCAGCTTCAGATACTGACAGCTTCCCTGTGCTTTAGAGCAGATGAGCTGGGTTGCAAGACTGCATGGTGGGGGATATTTGATTAAGAGGAAAAGGGGTCACACACACACAGAACACAGGGGTGCTACACCTGTATCACCTCAGACCATGGCTGCCTCCCTCTGCTCCCACACACATCACACCAGTTCCATGGGTGGGCTGTGTCCACATAACACTAGGGGTCCTCTGCACCTGGAAGGAAACAGGGCGCTATTACAGGCCCCATTCTCACTGGAAGCAAACTGATGACTCTGAAAATGGTCAATTTATCTACTGTTTTTTCCCCCCAGCAGGTTTACTAGATCTGGGGTGATAAGCCTGGGTGCCAGCAAATATTCATCTCAGGGTCCAAACTGGGACGTAGGAAAGCTCAGCCCTCAGTTCCAAAGGGGCTGCTCTGTGCCTCCCAGTACAGCTGGGGATCACACCTTAGAAAAACCCCAAAGCCCATCAGTTTCCCCGACCAGAGAGCCAGGACAGTGAAGGCTCCAAATGAATCCCCACCTCCGGAGGCACTGCTGGCCCATTATATGGTATTAAAACAAAGACGACAGAACAAGGTAAGGAACCAAGCAACCAAGGTGCTGGCCTTGTCTTTACACCACCTAGCTGTGTAACCTTGAACAAATTCACCATCCCTCTCGGGGTCTCTTTTCCACACATACAATGAGCATTAGAGCCAATGGTCTCTAAAGGCCCCTTCAAACTCCATCTCTGAAGACGGAGGCCCCTTCGAAGTGGGACTGTGGCTTCTCGGTCCCAGAAAGGGAGTTCCCATGTCACTAACAGGGACCCCCTCTTCCCAGCCCCAACCAGCCCGGCACAGGCTTAGAATACAGACCCCCTGCAGGGGAGCCTGCTGTCCTTGGAAGTTAGACAACCGGGGCGGGGGCGGCACTACGTCAATGAGGGGTGACCCTGGGTTACCAGCCCAGGAAGGCACACCTACCCAGTTACCGGGAAAGTGAAATGCTAGCATGTACAAGGGCCTGATACATGTTTCTACTAGTGTAAAAAAGCACGTGCACAGGCAAATATCTTACATAGCCAGGCTCCCGACAACACTGTTGCAATTGATACCTTTAAAATTTACTGAATGTTTTAAATGTGGCACTCCCGTAGCTTTTCCTAGAAAGCCATTTATGGGCAGGTGCTTTCCTTCCATCACAACAGATCCTACGTCTTTGATAGACCGACTGAAGGACATAAAATTCCAAGAGCTGAGCATGCCTCCTCCTGAAGCGAAACGCCCTCCTACTGCGGAGACACATACCGAGCCCAGGCGTTCTCAGGAGGGTAAGAGGATGCCAGAGGCATTAGCACCCCTGCAGTGTGGTGGGGGGCCTGGCGGCTGCCGCTCGATTCCATGGTAGGGTGAGGGGCTGACCCAAAGGCATGCGGCAGGCAAGAGGCCATGGGGGGAACCAAGTGGCCCTTGCTCCCCTGCTCCTTGTGGCCTCTGACCTGGCAGCGCCCTTGCTTGCACTTCTTATTTGTGTGGGCAACACGCTGTCCCCAGCCTTCCTCATGAGACTGCCTTGGCTGATTTCTGGTTCACAGGGAAATACTTTGATCTTCCCTGAATCCACAATTTCTTTACAATTAAGAAGACAACAGGATGAGAGGAGGTGGCCCTCTGACTGCCCTTGATTGGTTGACCCAGGAGTTCCTACGGCTAAAAGGACAAAGGCCAACCCACACCCCTGGCCTCTCCACTCCGACTCATTGTAAGAAATCAGTGCAGGAGGCAAGGGGAAGCCAGGATTTTCACCTGGGAAGTATGAGCTTTCCAGTGCTCCTCCAGCCTTAAAATAATCCAGGAATCTGGAGAAGCAATCAAATCACCATCCAGGTACTTCCAGTTCTGTCCTTTGTCTCAGCCTGAGTAAAGGCGACATTTCTAAAGAGGGGCCTGCCTGCTGTTGCAAGCACCACCCAGGACAATTTACCTGTGCCCCACAGGGTCAGAGTCTGCCCTAGGCTCGCTCCCTGGGCAATCCTGGGCCTCTCCTTTCCTTTCAGGGCAACTGCTCCCTGGAGAGATGACACAGTGTTATTTTCACACTGCCAGGGCTCTGAAGACTGCCAGGCTTGGAGCAGAATCCGGCACGACCCAGCCACGCGGCAACAGACAAGTGACTTCAGTTCTGAGCTGTGCTGTTTTCCAGCTGTAAACTGGGGACATTTGCACCCAGTCCCCTGACTCGGTTTTAATATCATGGGAACTACTCTACCTTCTGCTGTGCTCGGAAGACAATATCACACTTGCATTAAGTGGATTCATTCCGGGGTTAAAGCATATTGCTTCTGGAGTAACAAAGGTAATGCTCTCACCACGCTTTCACTCGATCTCACTTGTAGAAGGTACTTGAGGAACAGAGGATGGGGTTTTCTTTGGGGTTACCTGCAGCCCCGGCCGTGAGGTCAATGGCGGCTTGGATGGCAGGATTGGATTTCATGTCAGCCCTCTCCTCTGCTACACTCCGTGGAGGACAACTCTCTGGAGCTTAGGGTGGGCGCCTCATACCCCTGGAAAGAGGCAAGAGTTCACCATCAGTCGGGCCTCTGCAGCCCCACCTTTCTCTAGGCCTGCTGCCTAGATACTGGACCTGAACTTCTGAGAACCAGGAAATTGGCTCTACATTGATCCAAAGGAAGGGGTTCAAGGTGTCAGAGCAGCTTAAAAAGCCCACAGATCATAACCCTTTCCTGAGTAGCAATGCTACAGCCACCAGTGGAGACATTTCAACCAACCTTTTGGAAACCCTCAGAAACAAACACCAAATGAGCGAGCCAACCAGACACCCCCAGCGCCATCAAACCAGGCCTTTTTAGAGGCCTAAGTTACACTCTCAATCCACTAGGCTCTGTTCCAAATTCAGACAGCAGCCTGTGTCGGGACCCTAAGAGGTCACAAAACAGAAGGTCTGGAAAGGAATGGGTTAGGAGCTCTGCCCAGTGACACACACCTGGGTCTGAATGCCTGCCCTGCCACCAGTCAGGTGGCCCTTTGGGCCTCTAAAGCTGGAGGTCCCTGTCTAGACAAGGTGAATAATAGAAGTACTATCATTAGAATACAAAGGCAATCACAAATAGCCACATTAGACAGAGGATGATGAACTGTGAATACACACGAGTTCTTAGAGCACCTACGAAGCCAGCACCAGTTATTGTCATCAGCCCCCTCCAGAGCGTCTCAACCGTAAATGTGCACACAAATCACCTGGGGACCTTGTTAAAATGCCAGTTCTGATGCGACTGGCCTCAGGTGGGACCAGAAATGCTGTCTGCCTAGCAGGTTCCCAGAAGAGGTTGATCACTCCAGGCTACCAACCACATTTTGAGAAGCAATACCTGGTCCATTGAGTCCCTAATTTACTTGATAAGAATCACCTGGGACACTTGTTAAATATTCAAATAACCAAGTCTCTCTCCTGGAGGTCTTGATTCAGTAGATTGAGCTGGAGCCTAGAAGTTTGGGAAAATCCGAGTCTACTTGTCTACCTTTAGACAAAAATCAATCATTGTTGAGACATGGTTCATTAACATAAAAATTAAAATAACCAATTCAGCAACCAACTCTGTATGGTTTTCAAACTATGTCACTGACTTATGCATGAATAACAAGGAACACTTTTTATTCATCACACAGAAGACCTGTGTGATCCCAAGTCAGGCCACCTCTCAGAGGAGGGGGTGGGTGGGCTGGATGGTCGATGAATGCAGCCACCAAGAAGTTTTTTAACCACTTGAAGTATGTTGCCAAAGACCAGACACCAAGAATCTTCCTTTCTTTACAAAAAGAAAAGTTTAAAATCAGCAACAGCAAGAAGCACAGTACTTAATAAAGCAGCTAAGACATACAAAACACCGATTTCATGTGACTGGTGGGCCTGGGGAGACTGTACCAGCTACCAAGGTTGATAATACAGTGGCCATTCCAAATCGAGAGAAGGGTATCAGGGTCCTAATCCAGTCTCCTCCTTTTCCAGATGAAACACTGAGGCCAGAGGAAGACAAAGGCTTGTCCAAGGTCACACAGCAAGTCAGTGTCAGAGAGAGGACTCAAGTTTTGCCTTTTGGGTCTGTGCCTATCAACCAAAACATAATTCCAGAGTATTCCAACCTGGCCAAAGAGAAAATGCCCAACCCTGCATTTTAGAGGAAAGTGGAGGCAAGTGGGGAAAGGAGTCACACAGACAAGGCACATCCAATGTGGCCTCTCAGAAAAACCCCAGGGGTTCATTCCCTTGGGGGTGGACGTTCCTTTCCTAACTTGGAGAGGCCCATGGCAGATGGTGCTATGTCATCAAAGTCAATTCAACCCCTTTAGGTAAGTCAAACTTAAACACATCAAATCCTACAAATAACTACCTGTAGAATTACTAGAACGATAAACAGTGATCGGAAGTAATGGATTAACTCAGGAGGCGTGGACAATTATTTCAAGTTACTCATAGCTTTGGCTTGAAGAAGACAAGTGGCTTCAGGGAGGCAAGATTGATCAGCATGAGTTAAACTGCTCGTGAGCCATCGGTACCACTAGAATCGAAATAGAAAAACTGAATCCTGCCAGCGTCCCTTTATCCCTCTTTCAAACTACACCAGAGTCCGAATCCAGAAGAAACAAACAGCGCCGACTGTACATCTTTCTTGCTCCTTGGGGAAATTAATTTCCCCTGTGGGGAATCCGAGGAGGCCGCATTCCTTACTAGGTAACAGGAATTGCTCCGGGAAGATTCCAGCTTCAGGCCGAAGCCGGCGTAGGGGGAGGCCGCCCACCACCCGACTGCCCAGACCGGGGCCCAAGGGCGCTGGGCAGCCCCGCCGGGCGCTCCTGATGCGAGGGCTCGGGAGCCCCGTCCGCACAAGGGGCGGCTTGGGGAGACAAGTTCCAACTTTGTCTTTCCGGCTCTCAACGTTCGCTGGCTCTGCCCCAGCAACCTGCGAGTATCTCCCATTCATAAGCACCTCCGCTCTGCCCAGCGCGGGGCTCAGGCGGCGCGGAGCCGCGAGGCTGCGTGACACGACCAGGGGGCAAAGGAGGGCAACCTTTTCCAGCAGGGGACCACTGCGGGCAGGAGGCCGCGGAGCCCGAGGGTCTCCGGGGATCCCCGGGCAGCGCGCGGGAAAGGGGCGCCCGCGGATCCCCGGGCACGTGTGCGGCGCGGCGGGCCCGGGAC